ACGTTTGCAGTCAATTATCAGGGCCGGCCATTCAGGGAGTCTCTGTCTGAGAACCGAGGTATGTATTGGGGTATCATCTCGGTTACTGGTATTGCGTTCGCCTGCTCGACGGAATTCTTCCCGGAACTCAACGAGCAGATGAAGCTTGTGAAATTTACGGATGAATTTAAGACCACGATGACTGCGGTTATGGTTATCGACTATGCTGCTTGTTATATCATCGAAGTGATCCTCAAGCGGCTTTTTAGCGACTTCCGTCCTCGTGACATCGCGATACGCCGGCCAGAGCAGAACGAGCGTGAGAGGGTAAGAAAGGAGGCAGAGAAGGCGCTGAAGGACGCCGAGGAGGAGAAGAAGCAAGCAGAGAAGGTAGCAGCTTTTGAGAGGAAGTTGGAGGAACGAAAGCAGAAACTCCGAGAGGCGACACAAGCTGCCCGCGCTGCGAGGTAATGCTTCATGTGCAGAAAGCATTTCGGTTCTATATAAGGGACGGGTGGGATGTTTAATGCATAGATATGACATGGTAGACATATAGAAAAGACGTTGGTTCCATAGATCAACCCACCTATTTTCTTGTTCAGCGGTATCGTAATTAAAGGCGTGCTGTTTAAGTGATGATACCATAATGCTGTAATACCGTAATACATACCATGATACCGTATAGTATGGGACCGGGCAAACTTCGGGAGGAACGGTCGAGGTATATTCCATTCGATGACTGCCTCGGCTCCTTTTTTTCCTTCCCCTTCTTTTTTGCCGGTTCCTCTTTTCGTCTTCAAAGGACAATTACATGCATACGGCATACGAGTCTACAATTTTTAGTCGTTAGTAATCGGCATGGATATGGCTTTAACTTAATTTGGACATTCCGATCGCTTACAAGACGAGACCATCATGTTATAGATGCCCCCCTTTCGTTCCCTCATCATCGAACTGGTAGCGTGACACTGCGTGTAATTTCTGTTGTAAACAAAGAAAAGCGTCTTTGTTACCTTGGATCGAACTTAGATCATCACCTTTCACTTAGCGTACGTATATCATGGACACACGCCCCAGAGGCATTGTTGTCTTCGGAGGCGGAACTGCGACTAATAGCCTCGTCGATGTGTTTGAGAGTATTAGAGAGAGCCGGAATTGCTGGCTTAGCTACGTCATACCTATAAGCGACAATGGAGGAAGCTCGTCGGAGCTGATCCGTGTATTCGGTGGTCCTGGTATATATTCCTTATATAGCATCTCATTTCACTAGCCCCCTTTTCTTCTGGTCCATGCGTTTTTGCCTATGAAGCTAATGATAATGAATAGGTATTGGTGATATTCGCAGTGAGTAATACACCTCACTTATATAACCAGCACTAGGAAACATGGACTTTCTTTAGCTGATATCTCCATCGCGCACCTCTTCCAGGTCGTCTTGTGCGTCTAATCCCCGGATCGGAAACAGACGCAGAGCGAGCATCGCTTAAGGAGCTGTTCAACTACAGGCTCTCGTCTGATCCAACGCAAGCGCGGCTGCAATGGCTAGATATAGTCGAGGGCCGAGCCAAGCTCTGGACCAACATCTCGAGCGAGAAACGTGAGCTCATCCGGTCTGTATTCAACCTCGTCAACTTGGAGATAGTCAAAAGGGCGCGGCCCAGTTCCGTGTTTAATTTCTCCAAGGCTAGTATTGGGAATCTGTTTTTGACTGGGTATGTTTGCATATGGTTTCTTATTCGTATTGTACCTATAATATATATGCATGTGTGTGTTATCATATTAACACCTCATCCAGAGGCCGCGTCTTCACCGGTTCCCTCGAATCAGCCATCTACCTCCTCTCCACAATTTGCAGCATCGCACCTACTGTATCCGCCCTCCCGGCCATCAATAGCAACTTCACGCACCATATCTCAGCAGGCCTAGCCGACGGCACCTACATCACGGGGCAGAACTCCATCTCGCACCCCTCAGCGCCTACCTCCCTACCCGACGACGAGCAGCTCCCGCAGCAGCAGCACCTGCGCCGGGAAATGGATGAGCACGATCGCATCGAGGACGCCACATTGCCCGGTTCGCTGCCGACCCTTCGCAAGCAGTACATTAACTTTAGCAAGGCCGACGAGGAAGACTTGCCCGCGCGTATCGAGAGAATTTGGTATATTAACCCGTACGGGCACGAGATCTGGCCTCTTGCGAACCCTAAGGTCCTGGATGCTGTGCGTCGCGCCGGCGCTGTAATTTATAGCATTGGCAGTCTGTACACGTCTATTGTGCCTAGTTTGGTGCTGCGCGGGGTGGGGGCTGTGCTCGCGGATCCGGGAGTCCGGTATAAAGTGTTGATTCTGAATTCAAGCGTAGACCGGGAGACGGGACCGAGTGCGGAGCCGCTGACGGCGACTGATTTTGTTAGAGCTATTGCGCAGGCGGCTGCGCAGAGTCAGGGAGATTTCGCTGTTGGTGAGGAGAAAAGTAAGGGTAAAGGGGAGGTGAGTAGGTATGTCACACACTTGATTTATCTCGAAGGCAAAGGTGTGCCCAAGGTCAACAAGGAAGAACTAGCTGCCCTAGGTATAGACTGTATCCGGGTTTACGGGAGGAGGTCAGACGGTATGCTCAAGTATGACGAAGCAGGCTTGGCGAGAACCCTCGAAGCCGTGATAGGCAAACCTGAGATGGCGAGGAGTCGTAGAAATACCAGTGGCCAGTGAACGCGCTTGTATTTGCTATACTGTGCATATGACGCCGGAATTGTATATATATCACACCGAGCGTCTTCTTATTCGAGCCTGTAATACGAGGGGGGATATCGTGATATCATATCTTTATCATTTACTATCGTACATTTCTAGGTACTAAGTCTATCGCGTTTTCCCATGAGACAAGTAGCGGGGGTTAAGTCAGCCGCGGGTGCATATGAGAGCATATGACCAAACATAGTCTACATCATTCAAGCATACCCCTCGACTTTGCTTCTCCTTCGTGATTATTTGTACGCACGTTAACTAACGCCGAGTTCTAGCCATCTAGATTGCTGTTATTTATTTAGGAGGGTTGGAGGCGACAAAGGCAACACCCTTCTCGATGTTCTTCTTGAGGTCGCCTAAGCACGCCTCTAGGAGCTTCTTCTCGTTGGCGTCTACCTCGCCGACGGGAAGGATCCTCTCAACGCCGTTGGGGCCGAGCTCGACTCTTGAGGCGAAGAATTCAATGCCTTGGTCCTTGTAGAGGGGGCTGTCGACGAAGGTGGGCTCGATGACGCCCTTCTCGCCTTGGGACGCGCGGAGAAGGGACTCGGCCATGCGAGCACCAGCCATAGCCATGGACAAAGTAGCGGAACCGGCACCGTCCTTAGCCTTGACAACCTCGTCACCACCAAATTGGACGCGCTTCACGAGCTCGTCGTTGGAGGTCAGGTCGGGGTGGCCGCTCTGGCTGAAGAGAGGGACGATAGTGACACCGGAGTGACCACCAACGACGGTGATATTCTCGTCCTTAGGGTCACTGTTCTTAATCTCGCTGACGAACCGGCTGGCGCGAACGACGTCGAGGGTGGTAACACCGAAGAGACGCTTGGGGTTGTAGACACCACGGGCCTTGAAAACCTCGGCGCAGATGGGGACGGTGGAGTTGACAGGGTTGGAGATGATAAGAAGGTTGGCTTCCGGACAAGACTCGGCGGCGGCCTTGGCAAGATCGCGGACAATGGAAGCGTTGGTGTTGAAGAGATCGTCACGGGTCATGCCGGGCTTTCGGGGGACACCAGCGGGGATGAGGACGATGTCACTGCCCTTTAAGGCGTTGGCAAGGCCGGTGGGGCTGGGGTCATAGCCCTTGACGGTACTCTTCGTGTTGATGTGGGAGACATCGGCAGCAACACCTGTGAGTTAATTACATGTTAGCTGGGTATAAATTTATCCGGACATGGCGGGATAGCTAGAATCAAGTTCTACGGCCATGTATCCGCCAATTGGAGAATAGAGCGTACCAGGAGCGCCGCGGATATCGTAGAGAGCAAGCTCAGTTACTCTGGGGTTGAGTTTCAATAGAAGAGAGAGCGGCTGGCCGATACCACCGGCAGCACCAAGAACGGTGACCTTGGAGAGCTAGAGAGAAGCAGGTTAGTCATTGACTCCCCGGATAGAACACTCGTTTATAATTGAGGTCTATAAAAGGTTACTTACGTTTCGCGCCGAGACTGAGAAAGCTCGGCGTTGAACACCACCGAAAACAGCTCGTGCGAGAACCATTTTCAACTTATATGTGATCTAAATATGTCAACTATGTCTATTACGATATGTAATAGAGAAAAGACGAGAAGGAGAAGGTGATTATAAAACCAAGAGCACGCAAAGTCGAAGAGGAGAGGTATGGTAGAGTGAGTAGGTTGAGGTGAATAAGTTGAGAGAAAAAAAAGCGTAGGAGTTAAAGAAGGAAAATGCGTGCGAACATCCTTTTTTCGCCGATCAACCGACCGTAAGATTCTGGGGAAGGAACATTAGAAACATACCTGCTTCCACTGTCGGCCCGGGTATTACCGGGGTAGTACAAATATCCGTTCCTCCTACCTTACCTTACGTCCTTCCATATTGTATGCAGATACCTTACTAACCTTGATGCATCTTAGTATATCGAAGAAAACGGCCTAACTGGACCGGCGAAAACTCGGTGTTTTACCATTCGAGGTACTTTGTATACCGCAAAGAAAAGTGTAAGGAACGCCGCGAAGTACTTGCTCTTCATGTACATAGTATCAGAGGTACCTACCTCCAACAAACGCGGACCGCCTTCACTATCCGCTCTCTACAACACTCACTATTACAACAACAAGAAGTTTCAAAATAAATATCAGTTAACATAAAAAAAAACTTTCTCGGAGGTTTAAACATGATCCTTCTCTTACCCGATGCTAGTGATTAGCATAACCACCTTAGGCAGTCTACTAAGGTAACTAGCGATTCTTCAACAACATCAATTACATTTCTTTCTTCGTGATATATCAAAGAATCATCTACAGTATTGAGCGAGAAGTCAGCCTAGGAAAGGCATATACCTTATGAATTCGTTGGTTTCAACCCGGACCGTCTTAACCTTAAACCCTTCTTACTAGGCATAACCTTTTTGCATTCCCCATATACCGCGTACTCCAATACTTATAAAACTTCACTCAAGCTGATTCAAGATGCAGCCTAACATTGGCGAGATACCAGAGGACCTCCTACTCTGGGGTGGCGTTTCGGAGCATGAGGAGCGAGACCGCGCTCTCCCGCAAGACATAGATTCCTTGTTTGGAGACCCTCTCGAATCAATTAATGACGACGGCGACAAAGATGGCCTCTTGGACTCTGCCGATATTCCTCCTCACCAAGATGACCCAGCATACGGTCTCCAGTGGACCAGAGACGATGGTTCTTTTTCTGTAAGACCTGAATGGACTGTTGAACCGACAATTGACTCTATTATCCTAACCCTCCAGAAAGTCGTTGGCCCAGATAAGGAGTACGTAGTTCAGCATCACTGGAATGGACTGTATAGTAAAATATACCGCGTCTCGTACGAAGGGATACACCTCATCTTGAAGATATCTCTACCGGTATGTCCTAAATCTATGACAGAAAGCGAGGTTGCAACATTACGGTGGGTCGACGAAAGTACTCGTCTACCCGTCCCTAAAGTTCGCCACTACGATTCCTCACGGGACAACCCTATAGGCTTCGAGTGGATCTTGATGGATCGTATAGATGGGATGCCCCTTTTTCAATGCTGGGAATCCATCACCCAGGGCGCCAAGGAACGCATCGTCAAGCAAATTGCCGAATATGCCGCTATTTCCTTTGCAAGACAATTCAGAGGGATTGGCAACATATACCCTTTGGAATCGCATCAGTCTGGCCTACAACCTCCCGTGGGCAAAATGGCCTCGATGGCGCTCTTCTAGGGTGAGCGCGCCAGCATACGTCATCACGTGACGCCTTTCCGTACCGCATTCAAATGGACGAAATGCCGCCTCCGTCTTATTTCTGCGGAGCTTCGATTAAGACTAGATGAGGCAACCGATGAAGACCATCGTAAGACCATATCTAGTATGCTAAATCTCATCGACCGTCTCCGAGAACTAGAAGACAAGTTCTTCACAGCTCCTAGACCTTCCAACGATAGCGTGCAACCAGCCTACGAGGATGAGTCAACTGACGAGGAGGACATAGAGACTATCGACAAGACCAATAAGCCATATGAACCAACGATGCTTTGTCATGATGACATTTCTCTTGACAACATTCTTGTTGACGAGAACGGTGTACTCATGGGTATTATCGGTTGGTCGTGTGTTTCATGCCTCCCTCTATATGAAGCTTGCCAATTTCCAGCCTTTTTGCATCAGTCGTGGGATAGGCCTCTTGAGCCGCTGACTCCTTATAGTGTCACTCGAGCGCACTTGGATATCGACGAGGAAGTTCGGAGGTACGACATAAAGCTCAGACAACATCATCTAACCCTACTTCGCCAGGTTTTTATTGGTGAGATGATGCAGAGATGCCAGGAATGGTTTGATATCTTTTGCAACCAGAAACACCGGAGGGATTACGAAGCCGCGGTGCAGAATTGTGATAATGAGTTCGCGTATAAGATTGTGGAGGAATGGGTAGGTGCTGCAGAGGAACGATCCGACTCGAATAAGCCGCTTTGGTCGCTTCACATACGTTTTATGAGATGATATGGATTTGTTTAGGATACAGTAGGTCCATGATACTAAGCCTTAATTAGATATTGCTATAGCATTGTTTTAAAAATCGATACTTATAAAGGTGGCAAAAATGATAATGACAATGCGAATACGTCTACTGAAACCATTTCTTCTTCTTCTTTTCCAATTACAATGACTCTATAACTCCAGATCCCCATGAATTCCAGATGACTAGCCCCTTTTAAACTAAGAACTCTATCGGGTCAAGAGGACCCTCTAAAGTACGACCAAATCTTTCTCATCACCGGGCTTCCCCCCTGGAGCCTTTTCTCCTCCTCCTCCTCCTTTTTCTTCTCCTCCTCCTTCTCTTTCTCTTTTTCGGCAAGGAAATCAATGAAATCATCCGTAATATCATCCGCACCGCTGAATCCGTCGTCGCAATACCTGGGTGTATTAGGGGTCTCCAAGTCAGGGGCAATGTCCTGATAATAACTGCTCTGGGGATGTTCCTCGTAATACATGTCCTCTGCGCTTTCTACTGCAGCTGAATGGTTAGCGTAGCTTATCTCGAGACCATATACAGAGCCCCCAGTATCGTCTTCGAAGTTGAACATGACGGCATCGGCGATCTCATCATAGTAAATCGCATTATCTAGATCGTCGTTCTCAAGGCTCTTGGTGTAATCAACGCTACCCCGGTGACTACTTACTGAAGGAGTATTTAACCTCGTATTTTCCTCTTGGTAAATTGACGTATCTTCTGATGGCTGGTAATTGAGCTGCCGCTGCTGCTGTTCCTCTACGAATCTTTCCACCATGTCTTCTCTATACTCCTCCTCTTGTACCTTGTATTTATATAGGAGTCTTTGCACAACCTCTTCGATGTTGACGTCTCTTTTCTTGACATCCCGATCATTGCTTGGAGAAAGTTGTGGACGAGATATGATGCTGCTCTGGGTTCGCATTTGCTGGTAGTGCCTGTAGATATGTTCATGCCAATTTGGATGTTGAAACCGCGGTATTAGAATATCAATGTCAGCCTTGGTACAATCTGGGAGAACCAACAGCTTATCGAGTCTGTCTGCTGTGTCTACTTCTCTGACAAACTCCCTTTTAGCTGGGTCTTCAACACTGCACACTGCTGATCGTCCCGGGTACGATCCACATGCGAATGGAAGCTCCCCTAACAGCACGGTTGATTTCGTGTGCTGGCATGCATCAGTGCTACAGAGGTAAACGGAGTCTTTGTTCGATCTGCACCCGCATGTATGATAGAAGGTTATAAATTGGCAGCTAACGCCCGTATGTTGCGGGTTTTCCGCGGCGCCCTTCCCGGCAGGCCAGAGACTTGCCATCGGAGCGTTAGCTGAGTAGAAGGATGAGGTTGATGGTAGTGGGATCGACATCTCGGTTAGCAAGCCGGCTTGCCCGTAATGTGTCTTTATTAGCTGGGTATGTATATTGACTGGTCTACCTCTATTAGTTATAGACGCTCTGTGCTTGTTTTAGTCGCCTAGGCTTTTATGTCTTCTGCGACCAGGGTTTACTATGGGGTTGAACTATATAAAACTTAGGGGCTGGCGATGGACATGGTTTTATCTTCGAAGCTCGGCATTGTTGGATGAGATTGGTGTAAGAAGAACAAGGACTTAGTTGACTGCATAGCCATTTAGAATATAACACTTCATTGTGTAGCCTGCATGAGCTAGATATGGGTTTAATACAATGCCTAAGCTAAATATAACAATGTTATCTGTCGCTTATTGTTGGCTAATCTTCTTGTTCCCTTTGTCCCCAAAGAACCCAACGCCGGCGGGATACTAGGGTTCAAAGAGAAGAAAGTTAGAGTAACTAAGTCTACCTGTCCATGTGAATTACCAATACGAAAAGTAACTGCTATAACGCTATGTAGTTATATAATATGACGCTCTGCACCTATTGCTTGATCTAGCCGACTACTGGAATCACATCTCCCCAAGATTGTTCGTTTCTCCTAGGAAGACGGGCAACATAATCGTGCCAGAACGGGAGGTCATCTTGGAGATCTAGAATTGGGAGCATCCATTCCCAACTGTTTAACCAGGGTTCTATTGTGTCCTATCCAAAGGTTTTTCCCCATGTGTGCAGCCTCCACTTATCATCCATTCTCTGATATTCGTTTGCGATCAACTGCAACTTATGGTCGAATTCAGATGCTGGCTTCGAAGCTACCTGAACAAGGCTCGTTACGATACGAATCCACTTCCAAGCAAGTTCGTAGTCCATCGTACTCTGAAAATGGCGAAACTCGATAGTGGTATGATCATTTTCCCGCTCGCAAATAGCCAGGGCTAACCGCTGGGTTGACGGGTCCACTAAGGTACCAGACAAAATTGCTGAAAGCGTGTTCATATCCCCTGCCGTAAGGATTGTCTTGATCCGTATTATGTCCTCATCTGAGAAGGTTTGGGGGATGGATACTGTTAGAATTGTTGTATGTGCTAATTCTGTATTGACGTTTCTGGAGGCTGAAGCAAGGCTATCCTAGAGGGAATCAGGTACCCCCATATCGTCGTGACCAGATGTCGATGGGCGTCGTGATAACATGGATTGTTTTCGGATTGGTGCATGGTGCCAATTCATTCCCCGATCAGCATTGCAGAGGGAAAAGAGGCATGGCTCTAAAAGCCAGCCGAGAACAGCTGCCTGTCTGGCTGTCTCTAGGCTGAGTCCATCTTTGACGCCGACATGGACGTGGAGTCCAGCTGTGCTGTGAGTCGAGGGTTTGAACTCTTCAGCAATATCCTTATTCGTGAGTTCGCCGCCATTACGGAGGGCCGCGAAAGCAGTTTTCAACTCAGGACATCCTTGCCTATCAAAGTCAAGGGCGCGTGTGGAAACCTCCAAGCCAACCGCGCGTTTTTTTTCTGCTTCTAATTTCATTTCTTCTTTGAAGTTTGGATAAATGGTTACGTCCTCGGAGAAGCAATAATGATCCCTCCACTCCTTCTTTTCTATCGGCACTTTATGGGGAGCCGGATAGTCACTCCGATAGCCTTGGCCCTTAGATTTGTTCAGTTTAGCCGTGATACAGGCACAAGGCAAGGAGGTTGCCAGATTCTTCAGATTTCTCAAGAAAAGTTCTGCCATTGCCCATAGTGCTGCTTGGTTTCTATAATAGCTGTGGTTGACAGTAACCATAAACTCTAGCTCGACGCCGAACGTCAACGCTGTTTCGGAAGCCATGATTAAAACGAGTGACCAAATAAAACAATCGCCCTAACCTAGGCTACTGCTTGATATTTGTAGAGACAAAAACTTTATGTGTGTAGATACTATTGTGGCAGTAAAGAGTCGATAAAGAGAATTGAAGTCGGAAGAAGGGGTTTACGTTAGAGATTTGAAGTTCGCATCTGAACTCCTACTAGGTGTTCCCTGATATATTAGGTTCAGAGCCGAGTTATGATTTCCCATCAACTTCCCTATTGGCTTTACCGTTGATATAGCCTGTAGGTATACAACGCAGCTGCCTTTCGAATATACGACCAGCGTGCATTAGTCTAGCTGCTAGGAAGGCCCCCGATATTAGGCGGCAGTTCTTGGAAGGTCTTATATATGTACATAATGATGCAGCAGGAATCTGTTAGAAAAAGCTCTCGGGTATATAACATAAACGATGGTTTAAGTCGTAAAGAAATCGTTAGCTCTGGTGGAGACATTTCAGAATCCAGATTCGTGTGTTTGAAATGCCTATTATACAGGACAGAACAACTTCCTAGCCACAAGAGTTACCATGGGGCACGTTTTAGTCAAGTAACGAAACTAAATAGAGCTGGACTGATCTAGAACAGCATAACAGTAAAGCCGTTAGAAGACAGCAGTGACGTGTGCAGCCAACACACCTACATATATATATGGGGTTCGTGTTTCGTAGATGAGATTGTTCTCCGAGGAATGAAATTGTTTACTTAATCATTGAGCTGGATAAGCAACAGATAGGTAACAAGTAGGCGATTCGTATAAAGGAGGTGATAATATGTTTCGTATGATCTGGTATTAAAGTGGCGTGGGAGCTTCTATGTTCTCTCTATTCCTCAACTCAAAGCATTCGAAACAATTCTTTTGTGTTATTTCGACCAAGCGAGCCGTGTCCAGAGCACATCCGAGTAAGTTGTAAACCTTGTACCAAAGACTTTACGAATATTACACCAAGATGTGTTACTTTGCCGTTACCACGTTTTCCTGCGGGTGTCTTGCCTGGAGAGGTAGCGAGTACAGATATTGCGCGGAGCGAGGCAGAAGCTGCAGTGAGAAGCTGCTCGAGAAATACGAATGGTTGACTTTTTGTCCGGACGCTCGCAGGGCTATGGATCGTAAGAAGTGTAGGGGACGCGTCGTGTTACCGAAATGTTGCGACAAGCTCAGCGAGGAGCAGCGCAATGCTCTTTGCCAAGAATGTAACTCCATCCTAGAAAACGGGAAATTGGAGTTGTTTCCTTACTGCGCTGAACACCGAGTCCGCGTGTTTGCCGGAGTCGAGGTGGACGCTGAAGCGGAGTTCGATAAGGTGGTAGCGCTTTGGCCGTCTCAGTTACGTTCAAGATACCTCCGAAGAAAACAAGATAAAACTGCTCGAGACTGTGGATGGTCTCTATAAGCAAGTAGTTATGATGTATGATGCATGGCCGTTATGATTTGGTTTATTTATGGGCTTGTGGGCTTACAGGCTTGCGACTTTATGAATTTATAAAGAGAAAAAAAGAAAAAGAAAAAAAAAAGGGAAAAAAAAAAGAGAAACCCCGATAAAAATTAAGGGGAGTTAAGAGCCAGGAGTTCGGAATCATGTTACGGACATGTTTCTAATGTTTAAACGGTTTGTTTCTTTTTTATTTTGTTTTTATTTACTCCTCGTCTTGTTTTCATGTTTGAATAGTTTCGCTTGTATGGGTCTCAGGCGTTTAATTATGTAAATGATTAAATACCTCAAGTGCCCATACCTACCCAGGTAGGTATGTAGCGATAATACAGATTGAGTTGATGTTTTAAGCGTGTTGTGTATTATTTTGGCTGCTTTTTATAAATCATCCGATGGTTCAGAGTTGAAGTTGTCGTATTTGTTTAAAAGTTTTTATAAGCCATGTTGACAATAGAATTGTTGGTAATGACAATGTCGTCATAATAATATCGCTATTACGGCTTAATACAATGACATGTCCGAGCTTTGGCATTGCAGGTAATATAACACTTCATTGCTTTGACTGAGACGTCGGCCATCGGCATTCCAAGACGCCGCCATCTTATATATCTGCGGACCCTATTACTATGCAATTACAGGGGATGATAAGATGCTATTGGTCGATTTTAATTTAATTTACCCCTTTAGGAATTTCGTCAACGCCGATCGACCGGGATTTTATGCGTGAGTTAGTCTTGAGTCAAGCAACATGAAGAATTTGCATAGCCTATCTAGCTGGAACGATCTAGTAGCACTAGAACAAGCACTATAACAAGAACTAGAACAAGATATGATTAGATCTTGTGGACCGATCTCGTAGTCTCGTAGTCTCGGGATCGCGAGATATGCGCGGTAATGCGCCGAAAGGACATGAAACGAATGACATGACCTTTAAATAACTTAATATGTCATCAAGTTATTCTCGAGGAAAAACTTCAAGTCTTTTAAGTCTTTTTAAGCCTTTAAGTTTCACACCAACCGTCTGAGCTTCGATACCTATTCTAAGACATCTTCATATCGAGTCCGAGGCAACTTGATATTTACATTTTTCTCTTGTTTTTTTGTTTTGTTGTCTTTCTTCGGAACGCCTGCATACATACACTTTCAACCTCTTATACCTTGCATGCGTCTCTTGTCAGATATATCGTCTGTCAGATCTGCACTCTTCAACCTAATCTTGATTATATATTAAATATAATCATTCTAATTATAATAACTCGGCGATGTCACAGGCACAGCAACATCGCTCGGGCCCGCCCTATGCACCCACCACGGCGGCCGTTGGAGGCGTACCTTCAGTTATACCTGATGTCCCTATCTCTGCCGTCTTCATCGCCTTGTACATAGGCTTCGCGGCAACCAATATGACGATATTCCAAATCAACAATCGAAGAGGCCACAAATTCCTCCCTTCCGGCGCCCTATTCGGCTTCTGTATGGCCCGCATAGCTACCCTCACCTTACGGATAGCATGGGCGAACCGGCAGACCAATATTCGTCTTGCTATTGCAGCTAATATCCTTGTTAACGCCGGGATTCTCATCGCCTACGTCGTCAATCTAATCTTCGCCCAACGTATTCTACGAGCAAAGCAGCCATCCCTTGGTTGGCACATAGCGCTTCGTACTGCATTCAAACTACTCTACGCCGGGATTGCCTGTGCTCTGATAATGGTTATCACAGCTGTGGTATTATCCATGTACAGCTTGGATCCGCAAACGCTGCGAGCCTGTCGAGCTGTTCAACTAACGTCTAGCACCTATCTCCTCGTCTTCACTACCCTACCAGTTTTCTTGACGGCTGCCGCTTACCTGTTACCTCGATCCCCTAAAGAAGAAACCTTTGGATATGGCAAAATGAAGACCAAGGCCGCTATTGTCCTTGCGACGGCCTGTCTATGCATATTGACTTCAGGGTTTAAAATTGGGGTTGCATTCGCGCCTCCGCGAGCACTGAATGACCCTGCTTGGTATCACGGCAAGGCTCCATTCTACGTCTTCAACTTCACAGTGGAGATCCTTATTCTATGCGTCTTGACCCTAAGCAGGGTCGATAAACGATTCTACATCCCGAACGGGAGCAGTCAACCAGGCCACTACTCTAACCGCATCAGATTGTCGTCGGGAAGTGTCAGGGAGGTTATTGCCGAAAAAAGGACGCCGTCATGAGGACATAATTTCAGATGATTTTTGATTTACTTACACTTCTGGGATAACTATATAAATTTTACTTTAGATGAGATGATTTAGATGAATATGACGATACCCTATATAACGACAATGCTCCCTTAATGGTGATGATTGGATGTACTTAATTGAGAGTGCGATATATGTATAATACAAAGGCTTTTCTGTACTTGTAGCATCTCGTAGCCTTTATAAATAATATTTACTAAATATAAATGAATATAATAAGAGTTGGTAATGTAGAGCCTATCGGGAGAAATATTGGCTTTGGTCATACTACCCGCTTCGAATCGCCACCGACCCCCAACCCCCAACCCCCATGCGCCTTAGCCTACATTATACCTGGTGCTACATAAAAAAACGAATCTGCCCGGCTTTAACCTCATCTCCGAGTTATAATCGACTGGATAACATGTCCGCGAGAGTCTCACTTATGCTGTCCCCTCCCCACTCGTCGATATTAGCGGCTTCCCATTCTATCTGAAGATACCGCAGGATGGCCCAGACCTGATGAAACTCTCTATCGCTCTCCAAATCCTGGTCGTTATCAGGATCGAATTTCCCATGTGTCCACTCACCATCGTTCTCCCAACTGAACCGAAGAGCGCGGACGAGAAACCGAGCCGCGTGATCGAGCGCCGTCCAATTTCCCTTACTCGGCGTCTTAGAGCTTACATACTTAGGCAACGCGAACGCGTTCTTTGACCTGCACCATCTGAATAGCTCATCGCAATCTACATCCTCGATCTCTACTTCGGCTTCGAGGTAGTCGCGTTGATATTCTGCGAAAAAGGGGCTGATGAAGTCCCCATCTAGGATCTGCCGCAAGAAGTGCTTTTCATCGTCGTGGAAGCCGAGGTATATGCAGAGCGTATCGTAAGCGTGCTGCAGAGCCAAGAGTCGTTCCCGCGGAATAGCCTTGCTGGCTGCCATCATGCGGGGTGGATATTTAGCGAATGACCTTTTGCGAGGACTAAGCTGGCGGCGGTAAGAGACTGATGAGAATGAGAGTGCCAAAAGTTACTGCACCAACTAGAGAGTGTTTTATCCTTATACCACCTAATTGTTTGTCTAATCTTATGATCTTATGGTTGCCTTTTTTAAGATAAATAAGGGCACACGTTGTTTTGAGTCATCTCCTACCTCCTATTTAGTAGTTATCTGTTTCACGCGTGAGGAGTAACAGTCGATATTCATGAGGCACAAAGCTGCGGGATTGCGAGGGGCATTGCATCGTACTACGCGGGAAGGGCACGGCCGGTCCAATCATGATGCTCACCAGGCTACACGATAGCTGCATCCCCAAGTCGGCATGGCGTCAAAACGTTACGCATGGTACTTGCGGAAACCGTGTATTTTCCCCGGCTATCTAGAGCTATGCATTCAGCTACTGACGCATGAGGCCTCCTGGCTTCGAATAGTTATTTGTTGAAATTGCTCGGACCAAATCTTGAGCCTTATATCTTATTAAAGCTTGAATGTTGAAGTATCAGACGCACAGACTATTATTATTCAGCTTTGAGTCTTCTTAAGTAACAATCGATATTTAGGAGGTAACTAATAGGCCTGATTATTCAATTATTGAGCGACGAAATATATTTTATAATGTATATAATGGCGAGATGATAGTAATAAAATAAAGTAACTACCTATGTTTATCATATCCCGAGTTAACGAATTAATCTATCAATCTGTATTTCTCCTAATTTGCTGTAACTAGACCCCTTAAACAATAGGTAAGAAAAAGAAATATGATATTTCCCATACGAGATCTATTGTATATTTCGATAACCCTGCCGAACCTTGATCATCTATAAATCATCCCCTAAGCGAGAATATATGCGGAGAGAGACATAATCCGCGTGATGAGAGTCCTAGGCGTGACGTCCACTCATTGATATGGGTGTACTTTAACTTTGTACCCAAGCCCGTCCGACTTGCGTCTGATTTTCGGTTCCATGTCGGAATTTGGGGGGATTTCTGGCTTGATATAGTCGGTAACCGTGTGTGATAAGCTTGGAGCGGATGCGCGCCTTTCCCGACGACATCTTCTCGATGGTACGGTAAGGTATTTGGGCCCCGTAGGCTTGCTACTCTTAGGTCTTGGTAATCGTTTAGCTTCTGGAAATTCCATATTATATCCAACCAGTGGATCTGGGGCTTTTATTGCTGGGTTTATGTGGCTAAGCCTGCTTCGCCTTTTCCTTGCGCCGTCTTGGTGTTCCACCCCCTCGCCGATTCTGGCACCTATCTCTGAGCGTCGAGTGGTAGTGGTGTTTATAAATTGCAAGTGTTCCTCCGTAGAAGATGCAATTCCGGAAGCTGATGCCCTTGATGGATACTCGGGAGGGATGGGAGCGCAGGCTTGACTTAGTAACTGGTCGGTGAGGTTCCGCCACACACCGAGGCAAAGAGCCAGATCTGCAGCGATTTCCTCCTCGAGATACCGCTGAAATTCTTCAAACTGCTGGGCATCAATCCGAGGGTCAGTAGCTAATTTAAAAGATCGTCTGTGTCTCCATGCCGCATCCCGAGTATCGGGAATTTTGGTCGCTCGCTCTTCTCTAGGCTGTTCGAGTGTGCGAAGTGTCTTTTCTCGTTCGTCCATCGTGTTAGTCTCTTTTGCTGGTTTTGTGTCCTCCTCGGATGATGTTAGGGAGATTGAGCAACGGAGAGACTTGCGGCATTCATCTAGTAGGCTAATATGTGCGCCACTGTCTGGTAAATATAACCGTGGCATATCAAAGGCCGAACCCGGGGATGAACCAGACAATTCACCTATTTCATCTGTCTTCAGCACCGCCTTTTCCCCATTGGAAGATGGCTTCCTAGACATCCACTTTGACAAATGCCGTTTCGACCATAGGCGGCGGAAGAATGTTCGTATTCCGCTAGCAATTTTTCGCGACGACGACACAGGCGCGGCTCCGTCAGGTCCAGATGGATCATTCCAGTCTTGTATAGTGATGTGCGGAATATGCATATTGGAATCCTTGGCTGATATTATACCAAGTCGAAGTAAGGAAATCTACTACGGGACTTGTAGATGATTTGAAAAGAGAATGTAATGACATGGGCGACTGGGAAATAATGGAAGGAGCGTGATAGAATTTTAGTAGAATAACTAGATAAACGTGTCAAGACGGTGAGTAAGGGGCTAGGGAAGTATTTAACAACCGAGAGCCCAACGACGAACACTTGGACGCGGTAAGGCTCTCGACATGATCGAAAGGTTTGCGCTTGAATTAAAACACAGACCAGCCCAATGCATATGGTCACATCAGAGACCCAAACTCAATATGTCAGTTTAGTATTGTCCTTTTAATTCCGAAAGATAGTCAAAACTACCATAGACACGATAGGCTAAGTTCTACGAGAAAGGATCCTATCAACTTGCGAACGACCGTGGAACTATTAATTTAAGGCTAGGTATAAGCCCCCGAGAAAGGCCATTAATAATAGCCAGAATACTAACCCACGGGATAATGAGTTGGCAAGAGAGATACCTATAGTTGAGGTATAAGCGGATTTGTGTTCGATTCCTATCAGCACTAAGAGGACTCGAACCTGAACTTGCTTGCACAGCTCAAGTAAGGGCAGTTTGACCGTATTATAGAAGGCTGTGTTGAGACTACTAGTCTAGCTGCTTGAGCGTGTAAGGTTAAGGTTACTACCGTGCTGCATAACTTAATAGCAGTTTAATAAGTTGGAAGCGAAAATTTATCTCTGACCTAGGTAGATACGTCCTCCGACTACATCTAGTCAATAGTGCAAGCTCACGAGTTATTTCTAGTCAGCTCTAGAGATCCGATATCTTTCATCTTTTAGCCTACGTACTGCGGATTAATTAAATAAAGAATCTTTACCTTTCTTATAGCTGATGCCTTATGAGTTATTCGAGGTCTAACCCCCCTTTTTACTATGAGCAACAGTCCGCTACAACCCCCTCAACAAGCTAATGAATGATCCCCGCATTACATCACCCCCCAATGGGAAGACATCTCAGCATCATACATTACAGAAAATATGTAGATGCACAGTTCCGGAACGTGTAATAGTTCGGTTGACGTCCACTTCGTATTCATGCGCCCGGAAACTCGGCATTTGATGTGGTGTAATGGGCTTAATGCCCTTTGTCATATATAACATCTCTACTTTGAATTTAACAGTAGTTTCTAGAAATTTATATGCCATTTTGGTTTCATATCATAACATTATATATAATATATATATATTAAATATGAAGCTAACTCTCTCCGTCACAATTGGCATCCTTAGCTATGTGGTGGCACAAGCCAACTTCCCAGTAGCACTTAATAGTACGTTCGAGACCTTCGGGGCACGAAATGTTCGTGTCGACACAGGGACATACGGGCCACTAGTAGAGGAATACCACTATTTTTACGATCAATGGCCAATTGGACTCGCAGTGTCTAAGAGCGGGCGAGTTTTCACCTGCTACACGCGAGGGACATACGCGTACACCTTGGGTGAAGTTGTTAATGAGACAGCCGAGGTGGCGTACCCCAACTTGGAGCTGAATACACCCCCTCAGGGACTTTTTACAGTTAGCAACGGTATCATGTTCGGTAGCAACGACGAGAGTCACTTCATCAGCGTGCAAGCTCTGTACGTGACCCCCGACGACACACTCTGGGTGCTTGACACTGGGCGCCCTACTATCACCCAAGAGCAGAAGATCAGCACGCCATACGCCGCACCGGGCGGCCCGAAGCTGGTGGCTATAGACCTGACCACGAATAGCATCAGGAAAACATACACTTTACCTCCGACAGTTCATTATCCAGATTCTTACATGAACGACCTGCGGTTTGACCTTCGGTCCAATGTCACTCAGTCCGGAGGCGGCATCGCGTATATCGTAGACAGCAGTAATGAAGGGAGAACGGGGTTCATCATGATCGACCTTGCGACAGGGGAGAGCTGGAGGCAGTTGAATCAACACCCTAGTACTCAGGTTATAGCTGAAGTCGTTCCCAGTTACAATGGTATTCCATTTTATCTACGCCAACATGGATATCCACTCGGATTCCAAGAAGAAGGCCTCGATGGGGCTGAGTTAGATCAATATGGAGAGTAAGCATATGAACTTGGAGCCGTCGATCACGGCTAACCTTTGAAGGTCATGTACTACTCTGCACTCACTACAGATTATCTATACTCGATAGAGACCCGGTATCTACGGGCAAACCCGAATAGCGACCCGCTCGCTAATAAGAATGCCTTCGACAACGTCAAAAGTTTAGGACAGAGGGGTGGAAACGCCAATGGGTTCACTGGAGACAGTCTCGGCAACGTATATATGCTAATGCCGGAGCATAATGCAATATTTATATACAAGTACGCGTCTATCCAAGTCGATTGATATTTAGGATTGCGCGAACCGCTAACATTTTCAAGCTACACGGCCCGTTTGACAGCACCCTATATCAGAGACCCTCGTATTGTTTGGCCGGACAGTGCTAACGTGGGTTGGGATGGATACCTCTACATTACAATTAACCAGCTGCCGTACCAACCAAACTGGAATAATGGAGTTGATAGAAGAGTATATCCCGGGTTAATATTGCGGTCAAAACTTCCCGATGGTGCCAGCAAGAATACACTGTTGATGTAACCCATGAGCGTAGTTGGTAATTGGGGGTTTATATTTTTATTTATTCATACATTTTCTTCTACTATCCGCGAAGAACGATAACTGTACCCTGATGAAATTAAGGGGTTAGTTTGTGCTTCCGCGTCCTCCCTGTCCGCTCTCTGGACCATGTGTTGGACCCTGACTTGAACCACCACTGGCATTTAATCCTTTCAGTCCTGCGCCGTCTTCATGTTCGGGCAGCTCTGCAGTCTTATCCGCCCGTGCAACGTGAGGGTCCTATTTATGATATTAGCAAGATAATAGGTTAGGTGGCTGATGGGCTTGGCCTACAGTCTCGTTGCCGGCACCGTGGATGATGTTGTGATCGGTCTCAGGCGAGAGATCTTGAGCATTGTGGGCTCGACCGCTTCCGTCTCGAGGCATATTAATTTAGGGGTGTGTGAATATTAGATATGCGTTGTTATTTTGGTTAGTTCGACTTAGTAGTGTAATAATTGCAGAGTCGTCTTGTTTCCTCCTGTCTGAATATAATCAACGAACTTTCACTTGTGTAGCTTGGGCTTGGATATTTAACTTAACAGCGACAATATCTCTGACGTCATCGACATCATGAACCCCTATAGATTTGTATGAGGTCAGGTTTACGTCACGACGAACATGAACGTTGATATTCGTAAATTCTTGTTATTAATACGATTGACGATAAAGATTCTGGGGACTTTTGTTTCGTCTCTAACATGCCACACCTACTGAGTGTAAGTGGCTGTTCAACTATTATAAGATAGAGTGATAAATTATATTAGTCAGCTCAAATGAAGCTATTCAGGGTGTTCTTATCCGGGAGAAGATATTAGAAGACGCTGAGAGAATGAAACTGTATCTCTATGTAACTATAGCTTTTAATTTTATTAACTACATAATAATAGTAAACCGCTTCAACTAGAATACGAATTGCCTAGTGAGTTTATTACGAAACGCTTCTCGGAATGATTGACCCCAAAATGTCCGAGCTGAGACATTCTCTGAGACGAATTGCGCAATTCTTTACGTGCCTCTTCTTTTTTGTTATTGGGTAATCACGCCGAGTTGCGCGCAGGATGACCCCGCATATTGGTAAGCAGTCTCCGTCGATGCCGGTAGAAACCTTAGGTCCGTAGATATAAGTTGAAGTCGTGAGGTCGGAGCAATTATATTTTATTCAAAGTATCATATCTACAGTCTACTACTTAGTCTACCTAGCTTAGTCTACTCCTCTAAACCCCCTTAAGAAGATGGCCACACCAAAGATTAAGTTGTATACGAACCATCGTTGCCCATGTGCGAACGCCCCGTCCAAGTCTCATGGGAAAGGAGCTGATAAATACATTCACTAGGGGCTCACCGAGCGCATATCTCTCTTGCTGAGCTCGGGCTGCCGTTCGAAGAGGAGATCATTGACTTGAGCACCCCCCGCACTGCCGAGTATTTAAAGATCAACCCTCGGGGTTTAGTTCCGACTATCGAGTATAACGGAGAGATCCTCACCGAGTCGGGTATTATCTCCGACTTCTTGGCCGACGCTCACCCTTCTCATCTTATCCCGGTTTCGAATGCCCCTGGTGGAGCCTTGCAACGTGCTAGAATCGCCTTCTTCGTCGATACTTTCATCTCAAAGGTGAACAGTAACTTCTTCAAGGCCTCGTTCGCCAAGACCGACGATGAAATAGAGGGCTTTGTCAAAGAGTACGTCGATGCAGTCGTGAAGGAACTCGAGCCCCTCCTCGCCAATGCCGCACCTTTTTTCAACGGCAGCGACAAGCTTACGCAAGCCGAGGTAACTATTCCCGTTGCTCATATTGTCTGAATCGCACGAGCTAAATCATTCTAGGTTTTGACGGGGAGCTTCATCATACGACTTTTCACACTACCAAAGCATGGCATCCTGCCTGCGCACATACTCACCGATATCTCGACCAAGGCCCCTAACTTCTACAAATGGGGAGAAGCTGTTTCCAAGCATCCTAGCGTGACAGGAATATACAACGAAGAAGACATCGCAAAGAGTACGAAGGAGAGACTAGCTAAGCTACGAGCAGCTTGAGCGTAATCGTTGCAGCGCAACTTCTTAGTAAAAACGTATAATTTAGCATCCGACGATAGGACCTATCCTCTAGTTTATATTTTACATACCACAAGACTCCGCTTGCTTGCTTATATTCTGGCATTTGGTCTCTTCCTAACACTGGTGAACTACCATGTAATACTAAACACTGGTGCGAACTATAAAGCACGTCTATATTATAGGAAGGTAGGGTGATGCCTTATCAGAGATATTTGAGGCTTTGCTGGTCTAGTTGCCTTAGTTGTCTGGGCGAATCTTCAGGGAGACCGCCGTCTAGCACTGTAAGTGAGCCGGGGCTCTTATAACATATATAGGTAACTGGGTACTCAACATGTATATTCGTAGAAAACTTTGGTAAAACGCATTGCAATCTATAAATGTTAAAGCTCAGATACTTTATAGACTAGCGGTGCTTTTATTTTCGATGCCCGACCACCTTTACGTTAGGTAGACAGTTAAGCCATACGGAAGTCTATTGCGGACACGGCGTAACGTGGTAAATCATCTAGCTTGCTAAATTTATATTTCGGACGTTATGTAGCGGAGCAGCACGAGCCCCACGGAGCTGAGAGTAAGAAAGGGTTGAATATCGATAAAAACTGCATATGTGTCCGATCCATCATTCGATCTTTTATATATCTATCTACATAGGTATATATAGATATATATTTCTTACTATATAAAAATCTAGTTAAACAATATACCAAGAAAATGGGTTCATACTTATTTTGAACATGGATTAAGTTAGATTGGCATTCTTGTTGAGGGCTATGCCGGAGTTAATACAATGGCTGGCATAAGTGGTTGACAAGGTCTTATGATTGGATCCTTTAAGGATGAATCCGCCCCAGACTTCGGATACGTTAATATTAACTCGGATGTGTCAATTAGGTGTATGAATAGCAGTTTATTACTTTAGCTAAGACCTAAGCTTTGAACTGTTACCTATGAGCTCTTTATAAGAGTATACGATGTAGTGCTGTTACTACTTTTAAATATATTCATGTACCTAATAGACCCTTGCAACTCCTGTAGCCCCTGCAGCCAATATTTTCGTATTTACAAATGCAAGGCAAGGTAGTTATGCAGAGCTTTAAGGCGAAGCAAAAAGAGGTTAAGCGCCCGCAACCCACTCGAAAATCCTACATACCTACTTCGTACATACTGACATATCCCTCAATCCATGTAAATTGTCCCTCTTTTCCATACTTACCTGACATACCGCTTCTATTAGTATTCATTTTAAGCCGCTCACCAATACCGTACCCACCGACGCGTCTCTGCTGCAGTGCGATAGACTAAAGTCTAAGAGCAATATCTGTTGAGCCTAATCCGCTCTTTTGGAATCATGGGCTCCTTGCTTTCTGATCGCGCGTATATTGGAACACGGTGAAAGGTCTATGTTAGGATATTGGCTGGAAACAGATGGGCCAACCTGAGGCGAGAATACAAAAGTCGGACGCGATGAGCCGCGATTTTGTACATTTAACTTGGAACCCCCATTTGTCGCCCGGTTCCGTGGATTCGGGATCAGACTCCACCGAATATGGACAAGAAGCGACTTTAGAGTCGTTGAGGACAACTAGCAGCGAGCTTATGGTAATACCCGGAGTGATCGGATCGTCCAGTAGTTCGGGACAGACTCCGAAGCCGAAGCCGAAGCCGAAGTCGATAGATTCTAATCGCGGCCATCGTAAACGAACACATGCTCCCGAAGTCTGGGAAACGCATAAGGCGGAGATTGGCCGTCTTTACCTGGACGAGAATAAACGGCTCAAGGATGTGATGGAAATTATGGAGAACCGATGGGGCTTCCGAGCATCGTAAGCTTACGAGTTTCCCTTGATTTTCTTTGTCCATACTAAACCAGCTTTTAAAGTCAAAAGATGTACAAGACGAAGCTCACGCAATGGAAATTCTTCAAGAACAATCGCCAAGTTGACGTAGCAAATCTCCTTTACTTACAGCGTCACCGTCTGGCCATCGGCAAAGAGAGTACTTTCCGTAGAAATGGTAAATTAATCGACGTAGAGGCGTATATGAGGAGAAGAGGGGTCAGCGCGTTCGATCTCGTCGAAGTGGCGGACTCGGGCGACTTGCCACCAACTGTAAGATGCCGGACACCGCCTTTAATCCCGAGGCTCCTGGACTCCCCTGGCGACCTCTGTATCAAGGAGAGATTCTTCCAATGGACATCTCAGAAATTCATCAAGCCCCGCCCAATAGAAACCGACTATCTGAAGAAGCTGGACGCCCATCATACGAGTAATGCCCTCGTTTCTGTCCAGCTGCTGACCCACGGATGTTGGCTCTTCTCAAAAGGCCGTAATCAGGAGGGTGGTTGGTTCTGTCGGGGCGCTTTTGCCCTTCTACACCATATTCTCGAAACATCTGCGTCCCTATCCTTCTTCGAAATGATGATGGCGATCCGGAGGTATCCGAACGCAGAGATTATGAGGGAACTTTGGAGCTATCTCTCGCGGTACGCTGCCGCTATCGATGGGGTGAACCAACCGCTGCATCGGGTATTGGTGTCTTTCGCCAGGTTTTCACAGCAGCACAGTTTAGAACATAATGTCAACGTATTAGACTGGGCCCTGCAGTGGGCCTCGGGTAGGTTTAATAGCTCGTTCGACGGTAAACCATTTGACTACACCCTACTGAAGCCGTGGGATCTCGGACCTATATGGGATTCATATCACCGGTACTACTTATGCCTGAACCATTGGGAAGTTGATAAGATACCAACGGCAACCCTACCAAATCTAGACAAGTTTCAGGATCCTTCAAACTTGAGAGCAGACTTACTACTTATCTTTGGAAATCAATGTAGTTGGCGCGATGATAGACTCCCAAAAGTCGCGTTGGAAGTTCTAGAGCAGAACCAGTCGTCTCCTAAGCCTTCGGACTACCTCGAATTTGTCGGCGAGTACTGTATGGCCCGTTATAGCAAGGCGCGGTCTGATGGGGACGATCCTACGACGAGCGTCAACCATAAACTAGCGAGGGAATACCTTGAGTCGGCAGCTAATCTCCAAGGGAAAGCTTGGCCCCCTGGAAAGAATTATTACGAAACCCTAACACTTCTCGAAAGCTGGTATCAAGAGGCCAGCGACTACGAATCTGCAGACTCCACTCGAAGAAAACGCGATCATGATTGCACAAATATATTCAACTCACTATCCAGATAGGCAATCTAAATACTATGGAAGCTATTTACTGGGTAGCATTGGATATCTCGTCCTTCCGGGATTTCATCCGGCAGCATTGTTTCTTGCCAAGCCAAGATGCGATATATGCTCTCTTTTTATATTTAGAAACCTCACACGAATGATGACATTAGCTAAATAAGAACAGCCCTTGAAGAACAAAGAGATTATCGTGGAGATGCGGTTTCTCAGATTACTATGTAGCTAGGATATAAAATGTGATGTGCCGTGGCACACTACACGTTATGTGATTGGTTTGGGTTTATAGCTTGCCTACATTAATAACAATCAATGAACTATACTAGTCACGTCCCATCCGGCATGATATAGCCATGCCTCTTGTTCTATACGTGGTTGACCAACCTACTCTGTTTATACCGCCAAGTTCTATTCCAGACCTAGAGACTCTCCGTGCAGCCACAAATATCCATATGGCCTCGGCCCCTCTCGTCCGTCGTGTAGCTAGGGTTAACGCTAACTCCAAAATGAGGTTGCAATTAATTAGCCGGCAATACTACACCACCCATGGCTGTGATCGTGTGGGGAAAGGGGGGCGATCAGCCCCAAGAGGTCTGCTGAACGCTGGGGTAACAGAAGATCGCTTAACATATATGGCTACGTGTGCTAGAACAGGTATGAGTGCCCATGACGGCAAATCCAGACCACGAGTTAATATGCGGATTCCTTGCTCTAAGTGTCTGGGGTTGTCATCATGCATAGAGGATGCCATGGGTGCTTACTTCTTAAGTTGAGATATCTGACCAACGTCTGGCCGGGCGGGCAGATTCTCAAACATAATACCTTCCTTACTCACACGACTTGCAATTTCTTCGCCCATCGTCAAAATGTCGACAGACCAAGAAAATGCCCTAGGGGTCAAGGACCACTGGAAAGCAATAATTGCGATGACCCTAGTGTCTCTAAGTTCCTTCCAAGTGAGTTACTACACAGTCCTTGGTGGTTTCTGATCTCTACAGCCGCTGTCCTCCAGTCAAGATGTACTGACACCTTTTGTGGTAGTATGGACTCGATTTCGGCATTATTGGCGGTCTTCAAGCCATGGTACCATTTTTAAAGGTAATTCAGTCATTCCCAAACGAACAAGTAGTATCTCACGCTTTACTTTCAAGGTGTTTGGGCAGGAAGACCAGTCAATTCCACTCGGATGGAATATTCCATCCGATAGACAACAGCTTATTGCGTCTTTGATGGTCCTCGGCGCCTTTGTGTCTTCTTCGTCTGCTGGGTTTACTGCAAAGTATATCGGCCGAAAGTTATCTCTATGGATAGCATGCATTGGTGTTTTTGCATCTACTGCTCTCATGCAAGCTACTACAAACATAGGGGGTCTATACGCGGGAAGGCTGATACTTGGCCTTGCTAATGGGCTGCTGATGACACATTCACAACTTTATGGTACGTCAAACAATCTTGTTTCTTGCATTTTATATTCATTTTATGTGTGTACTAACTGGGGCGATAGTAAGCGATTCATTTGGTTCTCTTCATCTTGGAATAGCCTAAATACGCGACGAGGTGGGGAAGGACGTTATGAGGATCGTATAGGAATAAAAAAGAAAAAGAAAAAAGAAGAAGACCCTACGAACCAGGAGAAGAATAGACATGGTTGGATGTTTCGAAAAGCGAAGCTTTATGCATATATCTTCCTATTGTAGAAGCTAACATGTAGTAGATCCAGGTATGCAGACGCATACATCGCTGACAACTACCACAAGTAACTTACACCTCAGTACAGGAAAGTGTTCCCAGTCGTTACAGAGGATTGGGCATATCGTTCCTCACATATTGGGTTTCATTCGGTAAGAACCCGTATCTTGCAAGCACCGACTATATGAGTCGTACCCTTCCTAACTTGCCTAGGATCCCTTATTGGGACTATCGTAGATAACTTTACAGCCAAGATCGCAACCAAGAACGCCTACATCATCCCTTTAGGTATTGTCCACATTATTCCTGGGATCTTGTTTATCGGACTTTTCTTCATCCCCGAATCGCCCCGTTGGTTGGCCGCGAAAGGGCTATTTGATGAAGCCGAACGGTCCTTACATCGGTTACGGCCCGAAGGATGGTCTGTTTCGCAAGAAATGACAGATATGAAGACGACTCTGGAGGCAGAGGCCAGACTACAGTCGGGCATTGGATACGTAGACCTCGTCAGGAACCCCATCGACCGCCGCAGGACAATCGTCGCCATACTTGCTCTCACAAGTCAAGCAGCATCAGGTGCAATGTTTGTCATATGTTCGTGCATATAATTGCTCCTAGTCCCTAGTATGTACCTAAACTAACATAGACAGCCTACGGAACTTACTTTTTCGAGATGGCGAACGTAGGGAACGCCTTCGAGAACTCATGCATCCTCACCGGAGTTGGGGTGGCCGCCCTAGGAGCTACTGCCATCTTGATTACCAAGTTCGGACGTCGACGACTAATGATGATTTCAGGTTTTATTTTCTGCGGGATTTCTCAGCTTGTCATAGCTATAGTGTACACGGTCCATCCCAACACAGAAAGCTCCGGAAAAGCTCTCGTTGGCATGAGTGTTCTCTACATAGTCGCTTACAACTCTATGGTCGCACCTTATGCATGGTTATCTGGAGGCGAGCTCTCTTCGCAGCGTCTACGCTCGCACACGTTTGGTCTAGCTACAGGTGTTGGGTTCTTCTTTGCTGTGAGTCCTCCAGAGTCTTCATCCAAGGACCGAAACTAATTACATACACACAGTGGCTTACTAGTATGTCTTGATGCTTTATAAATATTAGGCATGCGTGATGTTTAATACTAACTCGGCGTAGCTTTCACAGCGCCGTATTTCATTAATCCCGATTCCCTAAACTGGGGACCGAAATATGGCTATATCTGGACTGGTTCATGTGCCGTTGCCGGAATCTGGATCTTCTTCTTCCTGCCCGAAGCAAAGGATCGTACATTGGAAGAGATAGACGAAATGGTAGGCCTTTAAAGTAGCATGAAAATAGAGGGGTTTGCTAACTATCGTGAAATAGTTCGAAGCTCAGGTTCCGGCACGAAAGTTTCGCAAATATCGTTGCACGGGAAAGCATGCAGCCCTTGGCGAGAAGACCCAAACGGAATACATCGAGGAGGGGGTTAGTAATAATAAATAAGATCCTTGGGTAGGTAACTTTTATACCGTGGCTACATGCGGAATTGGTCAGTTATTCAACGGTTTAAATCAACCGACGGCGACTTCGATATACATACACCAATTACATACATCACATAACCACGTATAAAGAAAGGACCTAGGCTTCAATACCAAACTTGGCGTGGTAGAATTTCACCATTCATTAAAGAGACATACAGATGTAAGTGGTGAATGCGAGTATAAGTTATGACGAATCGTTCAGATAGATAGATACCTACCTGCCTCCTAAGTACCTAGCTTAAGCATGCAAATCCATAGTCTATGCCGCAAGAAGTTCCTTAACAATAGTGTCATATGTTTCCTCGGCATTCTTCTCCGCGTCAAAGTCAAAAATCCATTCTTGTCTCGGGAATTGGATTATCTCGGGGTTCTTCTTGACCTTCTCCCAGTCCGTCTTGTGCCACATATCTCGCGTACTCTCGCCGGTCTTCTGGGTCTGGCGGACACGATCGTATCTTATCTTCTCGTGTGCCTTGACAGAGGTCGGGACGTTTTCCTTACCGCCTCGTCGCAGACACACAGCGATAACTACGCCGTCTTCGAGCGCCTGAGTTGCTCCCTGGGCACTCGTAGGGAGGAATGGATGCGCCGAATCTCCTAAAAGTAGGATCCGTCCAGAAGGGCTGACCCAGGTAGGCAAAGGATCCCGATATACCAACTTCCAATCAACAAGCGTATCCTCGGGTGTTTTCGAGACGATTCGAGTACACAGAGGATCCCAGCCTTTCAATGCCTCTTTAACTTCCGAGAGCTTCCCTGGGAAACTCCACGACTCGTCAATGTCATGCTCGTCCGGATGAGTTAGCACCCAGCAGCAGTCGGAGCCGTTCTTAATAGTGCTGAACAAAAAGTGCATGTCCGGTCCGATCCACCCGTTGAAAGTATCGCCGTTATTACAGAACTGGGCAGTCTCCAGGTCGGCGAGCATGTCCTTATTTGGAAACCTGCACTTTCTTAGCTATTATCCTACGTATTAAATAGCGATTTGCTCTTACCATGATCGCCAAACAGCATATCCACTACTTTTTGGCTTATCTTCATAGCCCAGCACGGACTTTCGTGCCTTAGAGCGTACTCCATCTGACGCGATGACTACGTCGGCGGCGATCTTTCTACACGGTTAGCTGACCATAATGACGAAAAGTTAGTTTACTAGGCTTACTGACTCTTCTACCATCTTCGAGCACGATACCTGATTTTTTCTCGTCTTCAAAGTAAGTCTGGATCTTGTGTCCTAAGTGAATTGGTATTTTGAGATCGTCTCTGGCGTAGTTAAAGACTACTTCGTGTAACTCGCCCCTGTGGCCGTTAAAATTTGGCGCATCCTCAGCATATTGAGGTGTCTTCTGGTTAATAACAATCTCGCCGGTGTCATATTTATGAATATTGAAACCGTACTTCCTCAGGTCGATACTCAGGGGCCTCATTCGTTGGACTACTTCGCCATTTGACCAACGATAGAAAATTCTCCCCGCATTTGGCCCAAACGAGATGATATCTCCAAGCGTCTTGAGCTCTGGGAATGCCTCGTATATCTCGACATCGTGTCCCTGACGGTGACACTCTATCGCCGCTCCTAGGCCACCAAATCCTAAAAAATTCGAGGTTAGAGAGATCGCTAGTCGGATGCTCGCTTCGGAGGGTTCGTAAAATTTGCATATATTACATACCAGCCCCAACCACTATTACTTTTATATCCGTCTTGGGTCGCTCTGCTGCTTCATTGGTATGGCCGTTAGTTGTCATCTCGATAACCAATGCACAGAGGAATCTTCTTGTAGCAGAATCCAGGACGCCAAAGTTGCGACTGGATAATCAAACTATTTTAGATGTATGATGACGGCCGATAACGTGCTGATACCATCGACATTTAAATATGCCGGTTGCCCCTAATGCTAAACCACTCCATAAACCCAACACGCGATGCGGGGGTGGGGGATTCTTACATGGGGATTTCCCCAAGTCGGTGGAGCGCTGACCCTTTCTAGTAGCCATGCTGCCATGTTCCCGAGACCTAAGGTAAGAGGGATTCGGCTTGACAAGGGGCTGGGCCACGTTGTGACCTAGGTAGGTGGAACTTCGGATAGTTTGTCCGCCTTAATAACCTCCAAACGGGGTACCCTGGACGTATACTCCCCCCTGACCTTAGCCTATACTTGATCATCGACTCTCGGCTTGGAATGCCCAGAACGGCCGATTGCACGGATTGTAAATAACGCCGGTATTCTTGAAGAACCCCGTGTTGTAGGAATGCGGTTCAGTCTGGCGCAACGGGAGTCAAGCTCGGTTAGAATGAATAATTTAAGGCCAGTTTCGTTGTTATCGTTATCCCAGGAGTAAGGATAATAAAATAAAGAACGGCTATAGCATCGTCTCTCACGTCTCCTCCCCGTGTATGTGGATTATGCCATAAGGTCTAAGTAGCCAAAATGACGTCGAATCTAGAGTGGGGAGAGAAGACTTCCGGACTAGAGGTCGCCAGTACTTACGCCCAATACATCGAAGGCAAGAATGGTAGGTATATCTCCCCTCCCCATCTAAGACTTACTTACAACCCTGACAAAGCAAATAGTTCTGATCACTGGCGTAGCGCCAGCAGGTGTTGGTGAAGGAACCGCCATCGCTTTCGCATCTCAGAAACCTACAACTCTGATCCTGGTATCAAGAACCAAAGAAAAGCTCGATAGCGTAGCATCACATATTCGAGAATTATACCCAGAAGTTGATGTACGAGTCGTTACAATAGACTTAGCATCCCAGGCCTCAATTCGCAAAGCGGCTGCTGAAGTCACTGGCATAATCTCGAAGTTGGATATACTAGTGAATAATGCCGGTGCCACTTATAATGCTCGCCACTGGACAGTTGAGGGGATCGAGATACAATTTGGCGCGAACCATATCGGCCCGTTCTTATTCACGAAGCTCATGCTTCCTCTTTTAAAAGAAGCAGCTAAACAGTCACCTGCCGGGGCGACTCGAATTGTCAACCTGTCTAGCCACGGACATCGACTATCTACCATTCGATTCCATGACTACAATATTGAAAACAAGGAGGTCCCCGAAGAAGAGAAGCCCTTCTCTCCTTTATCACCTGTCTTCGGAAGGGTCCAAGAAGATGGCTATATGCCTACCATTGCGTATGCTCAAAGCAAAACGGCCAACATATTATTCACGCTGTATCTTCAAGGGCACTTACAGGCGGATGGAATTATGTCGTACGCCGTACACCCAGGAGGTAAAACATAGTCTATCCCTTGACCATGAAGAACATACCAACTTACTGTTCGTCTAGGTGTTGATAGCCAGCTTGGCCGAGAACATGACGATGAGATGGCCGATGCTATTGCGAAGACGTCCACGTTCTGGAAGAACTGCGACCAAGGCGCGTCGACAACCCTTGTTGCAGCGTTAGACCCTGCATTAAATAGTGAGGTCCTCTGTCCACCGGCTAAATGTCTCTTCTAATGTGTACTGCCAGCTCGTGGTGGCCTCTACTTGTCCGATTGTCAATTCTTTCCCAGCGCAGATTACGCAAAGGATCCCAGCATAGCCGAGCGTCTTTGGCACTTAAGTGAGGGTTTGATCGGGGAGAAATTCAATCTAGAGTGAATGTCGTATCGGTGCGTCGTACAGCGAAGGCGGATCACCACCTTAGGAAAGATAGATCAGTGTATAGAAAAACTTGAGGTGGTAACATACGTTATAGACGTCATCTAGCATAATAATTAACATAGCTACATGTAGGTACTGCGATGTTCACATGTTCTAGTCTCCCGGGCAAGAGTATTTATAGGCCAATAGGCCAGATCTCCTAAAATGATCTATTATAAACATATTGGTTCTGTGGCACTGTTTCTATTTTAAGCTTAGCCACCAGCCAGTATTGATTAACCCCGTTGATAAATGTACAGGAGTATGTCCATCGCAAGCCTAGAATGGCATTAGAAAGCTCCAGTCGCTTCCGTACGCTGGTCGGGTCTACTAATTTATACAACGCCAGCCCCGGCTAAACCGGCTGTATACCTAGGCATGTTAGCATCATCGATACTAAGCGATTATGTGCTTAGAAAACGGATACGCTCCGTAAGGGCGTTGGAGCTTTTTGGAGGCGATATCTTGATAGACAGCTATTTCATTCAAATTTTCCTTCGGTGAGGTAGGAGAGCTTGGTTTCTCTTTGTGATTAGACTGGGACTCTGTAGTCTCGTTGGATAGAGGGTGCTTCGTTTATTTATTTGAAGTGGCCGTTAATTCCTAGGGAAATTCACCATGAGATTAACTCATGTAGGCGCCCTGATTGGAGCATGGGCAAGCTATGTGGCCGCAGAAACGCTGGTCACTCGCGAGATGGTAGCCAATCTCCCGGTCGGTTGGAAGTTTGAGAAGCCAGCGAAGGCAGAAGAACCGATACAGTTGTCAATCGCACTCAAGCAGCCCAGAATCAACGAACTAAAAACCCGCCTCAGTCGTATCAGCGATCCGCGACATGCTGAATACGGACACCATCTCGCGAGGGATGAGGTGAAAGCTTACCAAGCACCCGACCGAAAGACATTGGATTTGGTCCACTCATGGCTCAGGTCGAACAGAATCACAAATATAACCAACGAAGGCTCAATGGTGAAATTCACTTCGACTGCTGCGGAAGTTAATAGGATCCTTGGCACCAACCTAGGACATTACTCTTTCCAGGACTCTTTATCATTCATGCGTGCTCAATCATATGCACTGCCTCGAATACTTGACGGAAATGTCGAGTTTATATATCCCATCTCCAACTTCATGCCGCCACCTCAATCTAGGCTTAAGCACCGCCCTTCTCGAAAAGCAGCCTTCAAGGTGAGCGATGACGACCAGCCTTGCTTATCGGGCGTCACTCCAGCGTGTCTCAAGAAGCTCTATAATGTGATATATGCCGACACTAAAACGCCTATAGAGTCACCTGTCCGATTCGGAATAGCTGGCTTCCTTGAGCAGTGGATCAAATACGACGATGTTTCCGCATTCCTTGGAAGGTATTCACCGGAACTCGCACCACTGAATTATAACTTCACTGTTATCACGCTAAATAATGGCACAAACCCTCAGCCTAATGCACCAGAATCGAGAGCGGGGTTAGAGGCTAGTTTGGATGTAGAGTACGCTATGGCCCTTGCCTATCCGGCGAATGTGATCTACTATTCAACAGGAGGGCGTGGCGAGAAGATTGATCGCGAGGGGGGGTTGATGCCATCAAACAGGAGCGATAATGAGCCATACCTCGAGTTCTTCCAGTACCTTCTTGACCTTAAGGACGAAGAAATACCCCACGTTATGAGTATCTCATACGCCGACGATGAGCAGTCGGTGCCAGCTCCATGTACGTGACATTAATGTTTTTCTCTCTCCCCCTTTTAATCGGCTGAGGAGTTGCCACTCTCGAGATATATCTAAACTCGTCAAACCGAAGCAATTGCTAACTATTATTTTTAATAGATGCTACTCGCGTGTGTGACCTTCTTGCTCTTGTTGCAGCTCGCGGTATTACAGTCCTCTCCGGCTCCGGCGATGGCGGCGCTGGCGGCATAGGGCAGAACCAGTGTTATAGTAATGATGGTCGAAGGCGTAAGATATTCCTTCCCACGTTCCCAGCCAGCTGCCCGTACGTTACGGCTGTAGGCGCGACAGGAAACACTTTACCTTTAGAGGGAGCCGACTTTAGCACAGGCGGCTTCAGCAACTACTTCGCTAGGCCGGAGTGGCAAAAAGGCGTCGTGGACGAGTATATATCTACCCTCAGCGGATCTCATAGAGGCTTATATAACGCATCCGGACGGGCATTCCCTGATATCAGTGCAACTGGTACGAACTACGTCATCCAAGTAGGCGGCTACCAGACCGATGTACTTGGGACGAGTGCTAGCACACCAGTCGTAGCCGCTTTAGTGGCGCTGATCAATGATTCGAGGTTGAAGGCGGGGAAGAATAGCACAGGATGGCTTAATCCAGCGCTGTATTCGCAGCCTGTTAGGGAAGCGCTGCAAGACATCACGACGGGTGTCAGCCAGAACTGTGTGTTTGGAGACGATAAAGAGCCTGGGTGGGAGAGTGTAAAGGGCTACGACTGCGTAACTGGCCTCGGCTCCGTGGGTGACTTTACGAAGCTGTTGAATGTGTTAGGGTAATTATTAATTTTTGGGTTTATTTCGGTAATTGTTTGAAGACCTCTGGACCAGATATTGACCAGATATATGCATATATTCTGCGACCATGTATGCAAATATACACGTATATGCGATTAATTAAACGATCTCCGCAGTTTAAGGTACGATGTACCAAACTAGTGGGGTAAATTTAACAACTTAGCACGCGTTACTGCCATCTCAGCAGCTCAGTCAGCTTCGCCAGTGTTTACTGACTCCACACTAGCTAAAGATGGTTCGCGCTTTGTACCCAAGATTGAAGGTAATTGCTACTGCCGACCTCGTACTTACTCGTACTTTTTAACTACCTCCTCACAACTTAGTTTATATACCCTTTTTTATCTTCTGTGTTTTAGGATTTGCTTACTTTATTTTATTTTATTTTACACTATATAGTCCTGTCTTCGCACTTCTGCTATTGTCATTTGTATTCGAAATCACGTTCGATTGTCCGATTATATTCGTATACTTTCCCGCCCCACGATCGATAGCTTCCATGTTCCCGTCTTGTACACGATTAACGTCTCTCTAACCGTCGGCATACCACAAGCCATTATATCGCGCCTCTTCAATTTAACAACCGATGTCCTATCGTTTTTATTTGGTCATAGATGTTAAGACCGACCTTTTGACAACTTAATTAATCCGCGATACACGCGTGCTGACGCGTCTTTACCCTCGATTTCTACTTATGCGCCCGCCTTGAAGCTTCCAGAGGAAGAGGACACGGCAAGTTCGTAGATACGTGTTAGACTACAAGTTTTATAAGCAATCCTCGCGCGATGACTCCTTTATGCGCTTCTTAGAACACAATCCCTTCGAATTCGCGACTGGCCTTGGGCATTCTGGTCTTAAACATTCAGTATGACGATACTCCAAGTCACACCTACTTCTTCGGAATTGCTCCAAGACGTCGCCAACTCGCTGGGGAAAGCCAAAAAGGTTGTTATAATCACAGGTGCTGGAATAAGTACCAACTCCGGTATCCCAGTATGATCATACCCTTGTTATATTTGGAGATATCTAGGGACTGACTATTCGTGTAGGACTTCCGCTCAGAAAATGGGCTTTATTCACTCATCCAGGCCCAGTTTGAACGGGCGGAGGCCGGCCATAGTAAAGATAGCGATGGTCAGGCTGTTGATTTCGCTATAAGCCAACGTCCGACCAAAAGAAGAAGAATATCACATACGACTGAAAGGATAACAGACCAACATAAACACAGGAAAGCGGCAGACGGCTCGGATAGTCAGAAAACCCAGGATAGGGCGAATACGTTAGTCAGCAGCACTGATGAGGATACAGTAACCTTTGTTCAGTCTACGAGAGAGGCCTCTGTAAAACAAGAAGTAGTAGCTTCTGAAATATCGTTGCAGCGACTTACTAGGTCGCAGTCAGGACTGCGGCCACCATTACCTCGACACGCCTCGCAATATTCCGTGCAATCTTCTACATCCCAAGAGTCATTATTCTCAGGCTCCCGACTTTCAAGAACCTCGTCCCAGACTGATGACTCGGCTCTCTGCGTAGGACATAGCTCCCGTAACGTTCGAACGAGGGATACTACCCCAAGAGCTATTCTGGGCAAAGTATTTAGCTCGTCACCCCTCTCTTCGCCACCGCCTGTTTTATTCGACCCCTACGAAAATGCGAACTCATCTACAGAGGGTAGTTCACGCGAGAGTGCAGAAAGTTCCGAGGCATCCGACCTAGAAGACACACAAAATTCCTTTGATCTCCTATCTTCGCAGACCTCTAATTCGAGCCTACGTAATATGAAAGGACGAGATCTATTCGACTGTAATATATGGGCAGATCCACTGAAGACATCTGTATTCTATCGTTTCGCTACTACGCTAAGGCAAAAGGTAAAGGAAGTTGAACCAACCACCACTCACCGCTTTATCGCACAACTACGTGATGTTGGAAAACTTGCCAGAGTATATACTCAGAACATCGACGAAATCGAGAAGAAGATTGGTCTTTCTACGGACTTGAAGAGTGGTGCAGGCAATAAAAGGAGGAAATCTGCTAAACAACAACTGGCAGATTGGGGAAAGGATTCGAAAGAAAATTCGGAAGCATCAAAGGATGAAGACGACCCTAATGTGGATGTTGGACAAGCATCACAAGGCTCTGAGACTTCCGGGCGAAACATTACCCGTTCAATTTTAGCTCAAGACAAGGGTGTTGAATGCGTGTTTCTTCATGGCTCTCTACATGCCCTTCGCTGCTTTGTTTGCGGGAAACTATGTGATTGGGATGAGGATGGACGGGAATCTCGTACGATGTCGGGCGAACAGCCCGAATGTCCCCACTGCGCGGGAGCAACTGCCGCGCGCCAGGAAAGGGGGAAGAGAGCCTTAGGTATCGGCAAGCTTAGGCCAGATATTGTCCTCTATGGAGAAGAGCATCCGCAGTCCGATCTCATATCTCCCATAGTTCAGCACGACCTTTCCGTCGGACCAGACCTCCTCCTAATATTAGGAACTAGTCTTAAGGTCCACGGTCTGAAGGTGATGGTCAAGGAATTTGCTAAAGCTGTGCATAATAAAGGAGGCAAGGTCATATTTATTAACCTGACGAGGCCGTCCGATAGTGCTTGGGGCGACATTATAGATTACTGGATTGAGTGGGATTGTGATGCTTGGGTTGACGATTTGAAAGATAGGAAGCCACACCTTTGGCTGTCTCCTGATGAGATTTTACAAATCGAAAAGCAAAGGCGCGAGGCTTTAGCCGAGAAGAAGAGGGAGACTATGTCTAAGCGGGAAAGCCTGGGTGAGAAGAGGCGACACACGATCGAATTTGCCAAACCTCGGCCGCCGCCTAAAAATCCGTCTTCTATGAGAAACGATTACCAATGTGGAGCATACGTAGTTTGGGAGATATTCCAAACCCTAGCCAAGATTGGTGACCGTCCTTTTGATAATCTCGGATACGCACTCCCTTGTCGAGCTTCGCCGGCTGTCCCACCTCCTATTTCCAGTCACCCTACTCCGATATCTCAGACTATCATCCCGACTACCAAATCAAAGAAACCAAGGAAATCAGCGCCGGCCGCCCTCGTCTCTTCAGCTAATACAAGGATGGATCCAGAGATCAAATTTGGACCTGCTAACAAAGGTACGTTCTTAGCTAATTGCAATAGCCGGAGACAATATGAAAAGGCTGCTCAAGAGCTCGCACGCTCTGGTAAATCTCCGACCCCGATTAGGTTGGCAGAATTAAACCGCAGCGCAACGCCTCTTTCGTATGAGCCGCCCAGTTCCATCACTGCCGCTGTTAAAATTAATCCTCGCCGGCGGAAACGAAAGATGATTGAGGGAATGCCGGTTGGTGGAACGGTTTCTCGAACTAAGAAACCTGCACCTCCACGTTCTACACCAGGCCACAGCCTTAAGGGAGCAAATGTCACTGAAAATGGGTTGACTCCTTCAATAAACTGTAGGGCGCTTCCTTCTAAAGGACCAGTTTTGCCTCCTTTCCATCCTGGGTGGGAGCGTTCGCCTCCTGCGAGGATCAAGCCCCTGGAGCCGAGTTTGAATGTATCACCACGGAGTCCACTATCTGACCTACCACCAATAGCGCGACCCCAGATTTTTGCCATACGCCAGGCGACGTGCCCCATGCTATTTAGCGACCCGCTTATCAAGTTACGATACGAGACGACAAATTACAGAAGGCCACCTAAGGAATCTAGTGTAGGTGCGTACGACAAACCGCCTAGCCCTTCAGACCAACTTCGATGGGAATTGGCCCAACAGGAAGCCCTCGAGGGGGCCCAGGTACTCGAAGGACTAAAATACTCGAGATGAGGCATGATCCGACGCCATGGCTTTTATCTGGCTAGGTTAGATGTGTAATAGAAGACCACGCATATTAAGCCTACTCGAGGCCCTTGAACCAATAGTAATAAGAAAGTATAGCTATATATTATATATGGCTGTCTACAGTGATTTATATTTAGACAAGTTTATGTTATATAGCATATACTTTAAACCCCTTGTTTTATCTTGACAACAGTTCCTAGCCTTGTCACCTTGAGGTTTTAGTTGGAATCTTTATGCCTGCCTAGGGGGAGAAGGGGGGGTTATTACTCGGTAAGTCACGTCGAGTGTTTGTTTTCATCACTTAAGTACGGAGTCTACTAATAGGACGCCTCTATACGCGTCAGAAACAAATTAACCTAATTAACATTAATAGCAAAGCAAGTCTTTAATACCTAATTTCCCAAACTCGCTTGGCCTCTAACACAGTAGTTGCTCTTGTTAGCTTATTGATTCGCGCCCTCTTCGCATTTATCTTATTATACATACTCATCATCATCTTCCGTAACGTCAGCCGCTTACGAGGGATTGGGAGAAGTCATTGTATACTTCTAGGGGTTTGCCTAGAGTCGAGAAAGTCCCACTAACTCTGAGCGGGATCGATCCTAGTGGTGCTTAGACTAAATGCTAGGAGCAGGGGACAGGAGTGCGCTCCTGGATCAGGGGGACGAGCCCGGACTTTCGCCTTCAGGACTACCGAAGCCCGTAGCTCGCGGCGCGTCCCGCCAGGTATCCGTCGTTTGGTATGGTTGTCCCCTAAGTCTCTCCCACCGCTGCGCCTCCTGGAGGAGGTACGCTTCGTCATATAAAACAGATTCATTTGTCGTGACCAAAGGATTTGCATACGCATTGGGGAATATAGTCGGCTGCTTCCCGGCTCTAGCACCAATAGTTTGTGGCCTGAAGATGCTTTCTCCCGTCCTCCTCTGAAAACTTCCTCCTGTTCCGAAGGGGGCCGACCTAACTATCTCCTCGATGGTTGAACTAGAGACCCCTATCTCCTGGAGACTGTCTAGGCTATTCATCTTCTGCGCGGATAGGACAAATCGTGCGCCATCCCGGTCCTTGTTCCAGCGTGCGAAGCCCTTGTGCGACTGACGCCGGTTTCTGTTCGCTCCACCTCCCGTTGTCCCCAGAGCACCGCCCCGTGATGTCGACCCGGACGTGGAACCACCTACGTTTCCGCCGCTTGAGCCCCAGTCCGGTATATTAAGCCGTCGAGGCGCGCGTCTTCCTAGTGTTTTTGCGTCGCTCGGTACACCAAAAGTGTCCTTTACTTCTTTCCTGTCTGAGGGAATAAAATCGAACTCGGGTAACTTGGTCTTGATGGGGCTAGGCTGCACATCCGGTGTGAAAGCTCGGGGCTGGTGCTTTGTATGTTTCGGTACTGGGCCAGGGGCGGTCCAGTTATACACTCTATCTGCAGGCGGAGGTTGACCCAGGCTCTTCACATCTCTTACTTTTTGTCGTATATCGATAATATTTGATTCGAAGTCCTGGAACGGAGTAGGGAGATTGCCTGATCCCCGTAGGCGATCCATGATTGATTCGCATTCATCGAAGACCTGGCGGATCCGTGGGTCTAACTTGACGTACTGTCTGTGTGCAATAACACTTATTCGATCCATGCGGTTTTTCCAGTAGGAGGACGGTACCGTCGCAAAACGTCTTTTCCAGCTGATGTCGTCCGGGTCCCACCGGTCCGGATCACCCAGCATCTCCATGAGGTCCGTAAGGGCCATATGGCAGGATCGGAAACGTGTTTCCCATAGGACCCAGGCGTGCTGGAGGGATTCAGATGCTGCTGAATTGGAGTATACGTTAAATATCCTTACAAAGTGGTGAGACCAGTCTAACACCAGTTGTATGTGTTTGTACATGACCCCGAGGGGGCCTGGATCCGCTTCAGCATTGTTTGTATAAATATAGAGCCGAGAATTGATATCTAAGCTGAGAAAGTCTAGTACCACACGCTGTAGGTATCCGACGTCCCTCATTAAAGCTCTATATGTTGCTGATGCTTCCCGCATGATAATCCCGCCTTCACAGTAATAATCTTCCCAGTCCCGTTCGTTCTTTTGACACCATTCAGCAAAGGACATCACAACGGGATTCGCACCACTGATAATGTTACGGTTGTGTTGAGAAACGTACGTGTCGAGCATGTGATCGTTATCTAACAAACAAATCCGAGTGAGCTCTTGACCCTTGTCTGTTTCGTCTTCCAATTTCATGATGTGAGCCATTAGGGGCATGACGGTTTCCGACTCCCATTGGTTGCTTTCATATTCCCAGCGGATCGATAACACCGAAGGCAGTATCAAGTGCCACGCCTTTCGTCTCAAATACTCTCCTAGTATTTGGTAGTCGTTCTTTATCAGCGTCCGGTATACGAAGGACAGAAACCACCATTCCGTATTACCATAGAGCTTTTGACCCTCGGTTGCGTGTATCCAACTAGTTGACATTGTAGTCTTCAGGATACGATTCTTGGGACTCAGCTTTATGGCTTCGGGACCCCATACAGGGTAGACATCAGTCCAGAAGGACTCCCTGAAGAACTGAGCCATGTAATCGATAGGGACGGGATGGCAATAATTCTCGGTGGGATATTCGGCGTGTAGGATGGGCCCTGCACGTCTCATTCCACGTGTAGGGGGGTTTCTAGCAGTGGGATACGGATTTGCTTCCGCTATCAATGGCAAAGTGGTTATCTGTCTGGAAGGCTTGATGAATGACCCGCTCATCATGAGGTTGGCGAGGAACCCCCAAAGCTGCTTCTCGAGATCGAAGCCTAACTCAGCGTTACCTATACCATCCCAAAAAGGGTCACCGCCTTCTACATCTATGTCCCAAAGAACATGTCCCAGTTGTCTAAGAAGGACCGAAGTCAGCGTAGGTTGGCCTGGAAATTCTGCAAAAAAACTGTCGGTCGTTAGAAGGACGTGGGCGCAGTTGACTGCATGCTAAAATATGCAAAAGCGACGAGGACCATGTTAGCAAATGTGACGCGCGGCAGTTGAAGAGTTTAGGAACCAAGGGAGTTATCTCACAGCGAACTCATGCATCAACGTCGAAGCAATTATGAAAGACGCCGTCAACTTCTCGCTTTGGCTATACTGGGGCACCAGCAACGGCCATATCAACTCAGCTGCTATCCAAATAGTGATGATTGTATCCCGGCCGCGACCACTCGCCTGAGTTACCCCATATATCAAGGTCTTCGCCTCTTTAACGCCATCAACAGCATTTGCATCATTCGCCTCGGTGGGCTCAAACCACGCGCAACTGATATCGAAGCGAAGGCAATAGAAGAGGACCCTCCACACATTTTGGACAAAATCGTATCCCATTTCATTTAACTGAATCATCTCCGGCCACGAGTTTTCAAGGTCCAAGATCGTCTTCTCTAAGGGCCTGTATCCAACGAGATTGGGCGTGCTGGGATTGTCCCGATCTTCAACCAGGTTGTCCGGAATCTTGTATCGCGTCCTTAGGTCCATCACATCTCTTATACCAGGATGATCGCTTAATAGCATTTTCGATACAAGCAGTAATGCTGGTTGCAACGCAGCCCATAGGATATCGTTCGTTTTCTAGCAGGAAAATGAATTAGCCAGCCATTGCCAATTCCCATCTCGTTGCGCTCGTTCGCGCTCAGGGATAAAGGGGGACAAGAAAACTCACCGGATCCCATTCCTCTCTTACACCATTGAGGTTATACAAGTATCGAGGGTCGAACCTGTCGGCCCCTTTTGACGAAACATCTCTCCACCTGTCTCTGGAGAGAGCACTGGTGCAATCGAAAGCCATTAGCCTTAGCTGATAAAGCACACATGTCAAACACCGGTACTCACGCATGAATCGGGCCTTCAAGATCGCAAATCGCATCGTCAGACTGTGTATAAATATTGTTGTATACCATCTCGTCGGACGTCATATCATTGAACATGACCCGTTGATAATCTTGATCATCCAAGGCCTTCTGGAAATACGTCTTGTGGGCGTCTAAGATATGCGGATAGTTCTTTCGAAGGTCGTCTACGAACTCTTCCAACGTGGTAGGAGGTTCGACTTGCAGGTTAAGAGGAACATGGTCGTCAGTTAGGTACGACGCCATTTTTACCCGTAGTTGATCTCCCGTCATCCTCTCTTCTGAGCTCATCAGATTCTCCAACGCATCCTTGTCGATATAGCCCTCGGGAGGAAGGGGTCTCCCTGCCTTCAGCGCCGCATCTTTCGTCTCTTGGGCGAGTTTTCTTCTTGCTTCTTCCGGGAGCAGGTTAACCTGGTTCGCATAGTCCTCCCACGGGTCCCGAGTCGCAGCGAGCGTCGGGCTGAGACGACTTCGACCCCCAAGCTCTCCCGGATAGATACCGAAGCGTTTCGCCCACTCTGTCGGCCGATGAATTTGATCTTCGGGCCGTAACGCCGGGTACAGCCTAATAACCGGATCCCTGGAGCCCAGTACGCGGAATCCATGTATATATGACACGGTAGCGTTCGGGTCAAAGTCAGGGTGAGACCATTCGGGAATATACCACGTGTAATTCCACGACCCGCTACCAGGCGGCTTAGGCACCTTTCCCCTAACAGCTACGTGGTTGTCGCGCCACCTGTCATCGTCCGGACAGCCCATTTCATCGCCCTCATCGGGCGGGAATACAACGCTAACACCACGAACGAGCATGTTCCCTTCGACCAGCGCCTCGAAAAACGGTTGCCAGTCCCAGAAATATCCATCAGGTATTTTCGTCTTAAACGCCGTGAGATACGCCTCTGCTAGCTCTTTGATATTCAGAGTCTCGTCAGGCCGCCACGCCGGCGGGCGAGCCGGCGTGGCGGTCTCGAACGGGAAGCTATAGTCGGGATCAAACATTAGGTCTACTTAATATACGATCCTGGGGCTTGTACGAGCGGCCGTGTATAGATATGTATATAATTAACCCCGTGGTTCCGCTTATACAATACCGCTATTGCTCTCTTCCTGTCGTTGCTGTTATCATTCTATGTTACCAAGGTATGCTTTTGTCAAAGTTACAAAATGCTAACGTTTAGATAAATTGCATTACTCCTTCAGATCTGGATATTGGATATTTCCCTTTCCCACCTCTCAATGCATATCTAGAAAGCCTTTGTAGGCATGCCATGAGTCTGTCTTACCGTTCTCGGAAACTCAAGGAGAGGTCCGAATGCGACAAAGGTTATAACAAAGGACTTCTCTCATTAGCGATACTACATTTTGACCCGGATCCGACATTTTAAAAAATACATATTGTTGAAATGCCAACGAACCCAAAGAAAGGGAATGAAGTCAATGATTGTTGTTGTAATTAGAGTAAACGTTATCGCCTGGCCCGTAAACGTTAGGTATCTCATAAATCTATAATTCATTTAGTATCCAGCTTTACATAGTTCGCGTGAGAGCAGTCTCAAAAGCAGAAGGGTACGGAGTGTAAATCAAGATACAATAGCACATTAGCAACTACGGGTAGAAAGAATATTTAGAACTCTATCAAGTCTATTCAGCGACCTGCTTATCTATCTATGGTATTCTCGCAGTCAAGAATTCGAAAGACTAACCTCTGGGCCTCCAATCCAGCGGTATCATGCCCTTCCTTGTTCGTCCTGCTCGACCATGCGATAAAACGCCCCCCTTTAGTTGCAATGAGCATTGGGCAACCTTGGCGCGCAAGAAACAGAGACAAATGCCTAACCATGCAAATCCGAACTTTTTGTGTTCATATCAGACAAAGGAAAAGTGATCATATTCGTGAATCAAGAGTAAGTCATAAGGATGCATGCCAGCGAGGATGATGACGAATCGTCTAGTCATCCTCATCGGAAAAGACCTCCTCACCACGCTTTCGGCGGGCCATACGCTCTATAGTCAGGTTAGTCGCTGTATTAGGGATTGAGGGGATTCGCTAGAATATTAGACTTACCCTTCTTCTTCTTCCTAGCTTCGGAGCTAGTCAACTTAGCCTTCTTCTTCGTCGACACAATCTTATTGCCCATAGCGTCAAACTTCTCCTCTTCGTCATCGTCGCCTTGCTTTAACCTAGGGCCAGCGCCTTGACCTTGGACCCAGTTGTGACCTGAGGGTGTCATCTTACCGTCCATGACAGCCCAAACTTCTTCAGTCAAGTCCTTGGTGAACTCGGCACTGTGAGTGATGATGATGACACCACCCTCAAATTTCTTGAGAGCCTTGGACAGGGCGCCTAGGGAGTCACGATCGAGATAGTTGGTAGGCTCGTCAAGAACGATCAAGTGGGGTCGTTGCCACGAGCAAGCAGATAGGACGACCTTGACACGCTGACCACCAGATAGACCGCGCATGCGGGAGTGGGAAACAAGTTCCGCATCAAGACCGAAGTTGGCACAGTGGGACTCGATCTCCTTTCGGACTAGAGGTCGGAATTGACCAGAGGCAAGCGCTTCCCTCATATCGACCTCAGCAACCATCTTTTGGTGAGAGCCGAGAAGTTCGGTTCGCGGAAGCCAAACGTTGTCGGCTGTCATCATAGGAACCCAGCGCTCGTTCTTCATGCCCACGTTCTCTCCGAGGGCAAAAGAGCACTCGTACTCGTAGCTGTTCTTGAACTTTCTACGGCTGTGAATACCAATGATGCGGCGTTGCGAACCCTCGACCTTGAAGATCTTGTCCATCGCCTTTTCATCATCTTCAGTGATGATCTTATTAGCTCGATCCATGGTCTCGCGATCCTCACCAGTCTGGAATCGCCACTGGATATACTCTGAGGGGGTCTTGTCGAGATGGTTATCGATATGGGCGAAGGCGTGCTGTTTGATGTAGGCAATACGGATGTTCTCATGTTGGTAAATTTCGCCAGCGGTTGGGATCAGCTCGCCAGTGAGGACGTTAATGAGGGTCGACTTTCCGGCACCATTGGGACCGATAACGGCAATACGGGAGCCGAGCGAGCACTGGAAGCTGATGTCGGTGATCTGAGGCTTGGGGGTGCCCGGATATTGGAAGCTCATCTTGGTGGCCCGTAGAATGGCCTTAGCTTTGGTCTTGACACCTTCCAAGAATCCAGGCTCGGGGAAAGTAAATTCGATCTCAGATTCTCCTAGCTCATAGTACGACTTGGCGTGGGGGTTCTTACGGACGAACTCCTTTAGGTTACCCTTGTATCTCTTCAACTTGAATCGCTCGTAGTGGATAATGTATTGAGTGACATTGTCTAAGAAACTACTGTCGTGAGAAACAATGATAGAAGTGCAAGGGGAGTTGATTAAGTAGTCCTCGAGCCATTTGACGTTCTTCACGTCGAGATGGTTAGTAGGCTCATCGAGCAACAGGATATCCGGGGCTTCGAAGACAGCACGGCACAAAGCCAACTTCATCTTCCAACCACCAGACAGAGCAGTGATTTCACCCTGAGTCATCGTCTCTGTGAAACCAAACTCCTCAAGACGCTTCTCAACGTCGGCCTTGCTGGTGGTAACGCCTGCCTCTGCTAGCTTCTTCATAGTCCAGTCAATGGTAGTCATCTCAGTGTCGGCAGAATCCAGGTCGTGCTCGACGAAGACAGTCTTGACTTCGCTCTGCTTAGGGAAACCCTCGACTTGCTCGTTGTTGATAGCGCGCATGAGAGTAGATTTACCGGATCCGTTGGGACCGCAGAGACCGTAACGGCGACCACGCTTGAGACGTAGGTGGGTCTGGTTAAGAAGAATCTTGGCACCGTAGGCAAGAGAGAAGGTACAGTTGCAGAGGTCTTCACCCTCATCGTCATCTACCTCTTCCTCGGCCTCATCCGCGGCACCGGAAGAAGCGCGTCTTCTAAGACCGTCGACAACCTTTTCGGCATCAACATCGCCAACAACAACTGTGACGAAAGGCTTGACAGCAGCAGCCCAAGTAGAGGGCTCGGTTTCCTTCTCGTCAACGAGCTGGCCACCAATGGCAGAGATGTACTGCAGAATAGGAGTCAATTTCTCAGCCGTCTTAGCGTGCTTGCTGGGGATGATAGCCTGGAGGTGGCCCAAGACAACGGCAACATCACCGTCATGGCGAACCTCGGGGATCTTGCCATCCTTGATGTCGCCAACACGGATAAGAGTATCTAGAGCTTGCTTGGTCTTTTCACGGGCTTCAGGGTCGGCCAAGTTATCGTAGTTCTTCTGGAGACCCGGCATCATCTTGGGCAAGAAAGGAGCAACGATGTTGGGGTCGTCAACAAGTTTGCACATGTTGTCAACGATGACAGCGGCCTTTCGCTTGATGGCAGTGTCTCGCTCAGCTAGACCACGATCCAGCAGAGGAACCATCAAAGCCAAAGTAGGCTCTTGGACCTCAGTGACGAAGGTTGTAGCACCGAGTAAGTGGACAGTCTCAGGGACATTCTCAGGCTTAGCGATACACTTGATGAGTTCGGGGATGAATCGCTCAATATCCTTGTTGACAATCAACTCGCAGATTTTCTCCATAGTCTTGTATGCACGCTCCTTGACTTCCTTCTTGGTATCCCACATTGACTCGGAGATAACAGGGATGAGTTCAGGAACTCGGAATGCTAGCTGGGCAGGGGAAGTTCGAACGAGGATATCAATGCAGTCAAGAGCGGTAATCTTCTCGGGCCATTTCTGGGATTCGAGAATAGACTTGACGATAACGGGTAGGACAGCCTTAACAGCATTGGGGTTGACAGCCTCAACGATGGCGGTGGTGGCAGCAATAGCAGCATTCTTGACACCAGTAATCTTGTCTCCGATGGCAGCTAAGGTCAGAGGTAATAAGAGAACCAAGTAGGGCTCGACGTTGGGGGCGATCTCAGAGTGCTGGGCAATGGCCTGGATGGCATTAGCTGCCTTCTCGCGAGCCGCAGCATCCTTCTTGTTGGTAATCTGCTTCTTTAAGGCTTCCACGGTTCTGCGAGAATTAATCTCATGTTAGCATGTGTTGATTAGCCCCTTTCCCGTTATCCTCTTCTTTCTATTTCGCCCAGCAGGTATTATGGCCATCTAATGAGTGGGGGGAGGGGTTGACATGTAAAGGACACTTTTGGGCACGTGCATATGGTGGGGGTGTGGGCAAAAGGATAGGAACGGCAGAGGGAAAGGGCGAAAATTGAAATGGATTAGGTATAAAAAAATTTGAAGAAAAAAAAGTCCCCCAAAAATGAAAATGGAGCTAGGATTTAGGTGGCAAAGGCGGAGGGCCACACACAGCAAAGAAGTCGTAAATTGCAAGATGCAATATAAGCGATAAATACGTGTGTGTATGTGTATATATATGTATAACAGCATCAAAAATTTCTTACCTAGTGGGGGCTTCCTGGTCCTCGATGCGACCGTTGATGAAAGAGGCCAGAGAGTGGGATGCGTCCTTAATAGAAGCAGCATCCTTGGAAATGGTGAGCTTTTGCATCAGGTCATCTAAGACCTTGATAGACTGAGCGTTTTCCTGAGCCGTAGACATTTTGATTCTCTTTCTTCGGAGGGGAAATCGATTAGGATATGTTGATGGAAAGTCGTCGAGTGTGATATTATCCCGAGACGATAAATTCTCTCGGTCGTAAATGCGGTGATGGGTAATGGACGATAAAGTCTAAGGATACACACCCAAGTCTAGGAGGTGGCCTTCGTCTGGAGCCTGTAGAACTTCTGACAAACAGAATCTACTCTATATCGTGGCTCGTCTAATCCAGTCTAAGCCCAACCGCGGCGAAGAACAAAGATCTCTTTTTTGTCTCGAGAAGAGGATGAACCCGAATCTGAGTTGGAGGGGCTCAGATGGTCACTCTTCAAGAAAAGAGAGTAAATGGAAAGGAAAAGAGAGATTGTATGTGTGATAAGAAAAAAGGAGGATTTGGGAAAAGGATGGAATGTGGGTTGGGAAGTGGTGGACTAGGTTTTATGTGTCCCAGTGGCAGAAAATACTATGTCCCAGATCCTAACTGAAAAAAATTTGGCGGCCAAATTTTTTTTTTCTTTTCTGCCCGCGAGGGGCAACCTTGATAGGTGGGCTGCCGAGGGGAAGTGTATAAGATTGCAGGGTTCTCACTGTAATCGATTAAATTTGTGGGACCAATACCCCCGATAAACCCAATTATTGTCAAATGCCACTGCCACCCCTATTGGGATTGGCTATGTTCAGGTACTATATTTGTGTGTATTATCCGTGTATGGTACTTATGACAGTAGGTACCAGATAAAAAAGGGCCAATAGCCGGTAAGGCAGGGGTCAGCATGATTCATGCTTATCGCTTTCTATCGTGTTTTTCTAAACTCTTAAAGTTCTCTTAGGCATCTAAACCTAGTCCCATTTAGGCATCAAAAGAAGTGGACAGGCTAGCTGCTTAAAAGGGACCTCCGGAGGCAGGGGCAATGAAGCAGGGTCCTATACATAACATGTGCCTATGTACCTAGGTACCTAAACTTCCAATATAATGTAACCTAGTATTATTGATATGTTAGGTACCTACTTACGTATGTATACCTTCGTAAGGCGGTCAAGCGGTGAAGGCGAAATCTTCTTCAGATTTGTCCTTCTCATTCTTCCCCGCCAAAATCTTGACCCATCGCCCGCATTAAGTACCAGGGTATATTTCAAAAATCTGGAGATATTCCGCATGTGCTTGCGAATCCGGGACTACATCCGTTTCTCCCGTAGGCCTTAGACGCTTCAACACGGGATTACATTTGTTTTTTCCTGACGTTTAGGTTACGTCTCTTTATTTTCATGTTCGGCTTCCTTAACGTTCTGATATTCCTCAGTGGCATATATTATCCTCCAACGACTTAGTTTGGCTAAGCCCCCCTTTCGATTCAACCCTCGATCACAAACCTAGGTAGATTTTTAGATCATCCTCCAGGTCTTAGTGTCAGGACCCTTGGAGCTTTGGAGCTTAGGATCCATCCAATGCAATGGAACGGTGTTCCCGATTTGGAATTCTAACTAACATCTTTTTAATATGTACATACTATCATGTCCTACTTGCGTATCAACTATAATAGACCATCCCCTTGAAGACCAACTTGGGTTTTAGTACTGGCTCGAAGGATTTTCCCGTCATCCATTTATAGTATAAACAACAAATCATCACTCTCCTCCAATGTAGCCCTGCTTGCTAACTTAGATTAGGTTACATGCATAGCTCAACTCAGCCCTGCCCAGCTCAGTTCAGCTCATACTAGTAATATCCTCTCGCATCAACAGCAACAACTTTCCCTGGCTCGGTAATCGTACCGTTGACGGGAGCATGAATTGCCCCTGACGTAGTGACATAAAGAATGTCTTGATCAATCGATGTTTTACCGAATGCGAGAGAGCTATCTCCTGCAACAGTAAGTTCTGTGAGTGAACCCACCACTACGGACTGACGACCATCTTTCCCAACAGTTACCACTGTATTATTGATGCTCGTCGCAACCCATATATTTCCATGTCTATCAAAAGTAAAATCATCCACGAATGAAACGCCTTCGATCGTGACGACCTTCTCAACCTTGGCGCCCTGTATAGGATATCCTTGCTCGTCAATCCGGAAGCGATAAATCGAGAATAGATTCGAGTTAGACAAATACGCATATCCGTCACGAATCTAGTAGCCAAGACATGTTAGACCTTAAACATCCAGGCATAGGATAAACCTGGTGAAATATCCAAGAGGTGTTGTTTGCTTACTATTAACCGTTAGCTACTATATAAGGACGAGTCTCGATGATAAAGAAATAGAAAGTTCAGATATCAGTATTACATGGGGGGGTTTTTTTTCCCACATACCCTTTAAGCCATTGACACCGAGTTGGATACTTGCTTCGGGAGTAAGTTTCAGCTCGGGGGTATCAAGTATAACTTTGTATTCGCTAGTTGCGACGTCAACTCGGAAAATAACGCCAAGTTGGCTATCCGCAGCCAAGACGGTAGAGTCGCTGCCCGGTACGGAGATGATGCCGTTTATCAAACGTGCTTCGGGAATGTGGACCATTCTACGAGCAGTAGCCTGCTGATCTCCGTCGCCTAGCTTCAATTCCCATAACCACGTTGTGTTCGGCAGGGGCATCGCAGCGTCCTGGATGAGTGCCGCTACGACGACGAGCGTATCGGGTCTCGTCTCGGAAATCCCAGTTGTACCGTTGGCACCTTCAAACGTGTGGACAAGGGACGTAATCGGAGAATCACTATATGGCTCCTTCACGGTATAGACCGAGGCCGATGGATTGAGAAGCGTCACGACAAGATCACCGTTACTGCGGACAGCAATATTTTCGACGAAGGCATCAGATTGATTCATCTGGGCGATGATTCTCGACGATAACGGAAGGGATGTCTGACGAAGACCTTCAATAGAGGCCCCTAAGGCGGGAGCAAAAGCTCCCACGAGCCCGATCAGATATATGAACTTTGAGGCCATGTTTCTCGGCCCAAAAACAATGTTAAGGGGTCAAAGTAACGACTACTCTCTCCTGGGGCTTTTCCCTAGGTGGTTAGAAGGCGAAAAGCGCAGAGCATGAAGGGCAGTTGATACGTTAGACTATGAGCAGCTTTAATATGGTTTACCTTGATTATAAATCCTATAGTTAAGTCCGCGAGCCAGGTATCGTTGTGTTGTCGGTTTTACTAGGATATGGCGGCGAAGAACAACTGTGTCGTAAAAGATGGCCACTCCCGTATTCCGACTTGGAAAAGGGATACGCATCCCCCACCTATGTATTCTGTATTATTAGAATTTGGCAAATGCAAGCAACTGTCCCGTAATTTTATAGTGTTATCATAGCCAGTAGTGGACATTATACCTGGTAGTGAACAGTAATTCTTGCCATCTCTACAATTTTCTTCTACAGTGTTTAGCCCAGTTCATTATACAAGATAGGCCTTTCCTACGAACGAAGCGATCTCCATCCCGAAGGCTCCCGGAGTCCGATATATTCTTAGTAGCATACTGGTTACGGCAGATCACTAGGGATCAACTATGCCGGGGTCATGTAACTAACCTGTGCTACTTTGTAATCTATTAGGATTAGGTCCGTTAAATCCGGGGGCTTCCGTCATACGACGGAAGACGATGGGTGGATGATTGTATAATCAATCTTATTACAAATCACGCAATCAATAGCGAAAACATATATCGCTTAACGCCATTTCAACGTAGCTCATAGCTGCTTTTCAACGATGCCAATATAAGAGCTAGCTTACATTCTGCACCAAGGTATCGACGTCTTATACTTTCGCGGGCAAGAGTTGACACAGCGTACACACTCCTAAGTTGGGTTCAGTCCTTCAACGCAAAGAAAGTCAAAGCAACAAACGTTTATAGAAGTAAAGTTATAGGCAATAAGTCTATTTTCTAGTGATTATATATGATAATAGGTAACTAAGTCTAGGTATCATCGAAAAGAATAGTTATGACATAACAGTTTAAGATAACTTATGGCTTCGGAAGAACTCCATAATCGCCGTGCTGGCATTGAAAGCCGCCACGTTTCCTTCGTTATCCGCGTTCGTCTGAGTAGATGGCCAGTCATGGCCAATATTGTCGCCATCATACACCAGCGAGACCAAGCCGCCCCCATAGCTCATTTTAACACCGTTATCTGACTGGGCGATAGTCGTGTTAACCGGCGTCTGGTCCAAGTTATCTCTGGCCGCCCATTGCTTCGCCCAGGAACTGACGGCCGGCAAGCAGGCTCCCGACCGGAAGTCCCCGTTATACCTAATTGTGGTGTCGGCGCCGCCGTGGAAAGCCAGGATTGGGATGTTAGACCGAGCTGCGTTGCAAGGTACCTTGACGGTCTCCGGGTGGCAGTCCGCTTCATTGTCGATCTCCTTGATGTAATAAGCCCCCGAGACCGGGGCAAACGCCGCGATCCTCTTCGAAAGACCCGAGTCGCATGCAAGGCGGCCAACGAAACCTCCACCTTGGGATTTGCCTGTCGCGTATATGCGCTTCTCATCCACACATAGCTCCTTGCTCACAGCGTCGAGAACGTTGTTTGTGAACCCGATGTCGTCCGATTTACAGTCCGGAGCTCCCTCCCATTCCGTGTGGCCAGGTCGGCTAACCTATCCAGGTATTAGCAACACGTACCTAGGCGATTGGCATGTTACGGTGACTCACCTCTAGACCTTGCAGATATACCACGATATGGTCTTTGTTGAAGAACGGATCGGTCAACTTATCTAGTTCAACTTGGCGTGATATAACCCTGTTGGCACCATGGTAGCTAAGAATAAGCGGCGTCGCTTTGCTAGAGTCGTAGTTTGCCGGTAACCATACGCGATACTCGCGATCCCCCGGGGCAGTGAAGTTTTTAAAGTCGCCAGGTGTGAAAGACGGTGTCTGGCCACAGCCAGCGGCTTGTCCCCGCGCCGTGCTGGCGAGGGAGATGAGAGCGAGAGAAGCAAGCGAAAGAGAGAACATGGTGTAAGCTTGATGACCTAAACTAAAAACTTGCCAACCTTGTTGAGTACTGCCGTGCGCTTTATATATACCGGCGAAGTCAGCAAGGGTTTGTCGCTTTTACGACGCCGCTGACGGTGTGCGGTGGTACATGGTGCATAGCACAATAGGTTCATTTCGCCGAACAGCCAGCCTATCACCATCAGGCGTCTTCCCCAGTTATTCGGTTGCGAGGAAGACAAGCGGATATCATGGCACTGGCACCAGGTACTAATCAAGCCAAAGGTGGAACCGCATTAGGATCAAATAAGATTTAGCTGATCAAGAGACAGAGAAGTTTCTATTTTTGAACTGCTGAATACGCACTATATACGACGATCATATATGTGATCCTTGTATGTCCCATAAATCTCAGCCACCATTGTTACATTCCAGTTGCTGACGACTACAAAGCGAAGTTCGGCACCGCCTACCGAATGTGGAGGTCGGCATCTACTCAGGGGCAACAAGCTATTCTAATCTGATTGATGACGCCACTAAAGATTTCATATATATTGTATATATAGGTAGGTACCTAAGCATACGATATGTCATAGACCTCGTAAGTAGTTCACCAAAGAACCTCCCTAGGTATCACTTCCTCATTACTCTTGAGTCTACCGAGTTATCACTCATGCTTAAAGCCTGAGCCGTTCAGACATGGTACGGTCTATAGGAAGGCTGTTAGACTTACAAAGCAGGTCTCACTAGTATCTGATGATATCAAGATAAGAGGCTTGTGCTTAACAATGCGCAGACAGTGGTAAACGAGGATGGAATAGTTGTTGATTCAATAAAGGTTAACTACAACAATCGCTGGTGAGTAATAAGTATGGTCGCTGGTTAACTTAACCTGATAGGGCGAGTTGCCAGACCTGGGAATTCATTATACGTGTCACCTCCATCCAACTTACAGTATTTACTTTTGGTAAACTACCGTTCACTCAAACACTCGCCAGATCTTTCTTATATTGAGTTTGTTGATGGGCTTTCTTACATTATCTGGATATCAAGTCTAGGTGGGTTATGATTTCGGAAGCGAATTCGGATATATTAGGTGCTTATTAGACACCGGAGCCGGCGTCGGCAAAGTTATCGATAGACACAAGACCGGTTGAGAATATAAATACCTGCCGATTCAAATTAATTAATTAAAAATTTATCAGTTACCTCGTCAGTTTCTAGAGTTACATCATTGCTAAAGCTGCTTGTAAGAAGCCACAAGTTATCAACCTTTTCAGAATTTTCATCCTCACCGACCATGTCAGATCCTTCCACCATATTCGACAAGACAGATCCAACCACGCCTGGTTATTATGGACCTTCCCAGACGGCCTTACTACTTCTAGACTTCCACTCCATGCTTGTCCAAAAAGCCGGTGGACCGAAGGCTCTTGTGGCTCTTCGTGTAGCGGCTGATATGAGGGCTTGGGCAAAGTCGCAAGGCATCCAGGTAGTTCATGCCCTGATAGACTTAAACACATCGACGTTTGAGACGTGTCGGGGCGCCTATAAGCTTATGGAAACGGTCGCGAGCGCGAGGTCAAGCGGTGGCGAAGAGGTTATTGAATTATCCGAAGGTAGCAGCGACGATGTCACATTTACCCGCAAGCCCGGCCATGTCTCTGCTCTTCGATCCCCCGGTCTAGACGAATTCCTGAGGCAAAGGGGCATCAAATCGTTAGTCCTTACTGGCCTAACCACATCCGGGTGTGTGATGAGGACTGCGGTTGCGGCAACCGACGCTGAATACGTTACTACGGTTATCTCAGATGGCTGCGCGGATTCAGATGAGGCTGTCCATGATATTATGATTAATAAGGTCCTTAACAATAGGGGATATGTCACTACTGCCACTGAGTTCCAAGACGGGTTTAAAAAAGCCCAGGAAGCGGAATGAAACGACTTCATACCAAGGCCATCCAATCACCCTTTAGAGATGCTTCTTAACAAGTATCTGTACCTCGAAGAATACATTTTACGTGGTTTGAAGAGGATTTCTTTTGATGTATCTGGCAAAATGAAAGCTACGACTGCCTAAGACCGCCTAACTAGAGTGATGAGGATGATATAGAGGCTCTTATAATTATTTCAATGTAAAGCTAATTTGCTAGATATCTATAAATTGAATTCTATCTTTAAATTCCTAGACACCTTTACTCATATACACCCTTTCTTCTTTCTACAATCAGATCTTCCGTTCCTCTAGGGTGTATTGGACCTTCCAGGCTCAAATTCGGGTTTATCTCTGGTTCTGGCAAGATGGGTCCCTCAACGAGTCTACCTATACACCGAGTCCTGTAGTTTGTCATCAACCATTGGGCTAAATCAGGATTACTCAACTCTTTCCCAGCCCAATTAAATCCTAGTTTCCGATTGTAGTAGTCGGGGTACTTCATGAGATCTAAGAATGAGTTAATATATTATAAACCTGGACGAGTAAAATATCTTAGCATGCTGAACATACCCCCAACATTGTAAATGTAGCCTTCGACGGCGACCCACGCGCCCTGCGCACTTTTATAGTTGTTGTGTTTAAGGAACTCCCACGCCGGTATATCCAATAGTTCTTTCGTCGCTAAACCAGCAACGATGAGGTGCTGTTTATCGTTAAATAATTTAATTAATGCTGCCGCGTCGCTATCGTGACCGGTTACGGCGACCGTAGTATCCCGGCGGATGAATTTACGGAGAGAATTGAAGAGACTTGGGTCCTCTTGTTGGAGCGCTTTAATACATAGTGAGTTGGCTATTTGACATGATTAAGGATTTAAAAGAGGAACCATACAGCTTATATTAAACACCCAATCATGGACAACGACGTGGTTATCTTGCAAATGTTCCCAAGTACGCTCTGGGACGAGGTAGCCGACTTGCATAAATTGGTAAGACTATACAAATAGAGATTAGCTAACAGCGCGTAGAAGTTATAGGCGAATTTCAGCAATTGGAATATATAATTCTGTCGGGGTCTGTTCTGGCCATTGAGCAAGAAAGGAATATCTCTGGTGGCTACTAACATTCATCATCTCAGGTTTGTGATACTGCAGAAACTGTTGAGTAGCGTCGAGTCCCGTGCAGTGGATGAGCAACTGGGAACCTCCGGGGTGAAAACGTAGGTAGTCTAAATGATATCAGTACCGAAATCGTTAGAGCCCTTGACAACGAAGAATAACTGACCCGAAATATCGTAGACCACATTTCCTAGTGCAATATAGACCCCATGAGAGGGGTTGTCATACCACCGTAGCGTTTCTGGTGTAAAATACCTCATATTCCGTACTGGCTGTGGTACGTGGAGATACGCGCAGGTATAGGGGACTAGACGCTCCAGTAGTTGATTTGTTTCGTGTTCCGATCTTGTCAGATCTTTGGACAACGGGCCACCATAACTCTCGGTTAACGCCTCTTGTTCTTCGATAGACCGAGCAGGGAAATCTTGGGAAAAGTCAGTATAGCTCTGCTTCTAAATATGATGTCTACAACGCACTGGTTATGTCGAAGATGAGTGGGCCCCAGCTGGTCCAAGCAGATCGCCCATTCTGACCATCACACTCTGCGACCTCTTCTATACGCCTTCGTAGCATCAACTTGCCAATTGGTTGGATACTGGTGTTGAATTTTGCACGAACAAATTCTGCTCTTGCATCTCGATTCAATGTCGAACCTTGAGGTCCAATCACTACCATGGCGCCATAATCGGTTTCCGTAGCATTCACACTTCTTAATTCACCTGGAACATTAGGTAGGTAGGTAGTCAGCAGTCAGGGTCAAAAGCGGGAGAAGGGTCGGAGTTAACTTACTCGTGATATCGAATACGTCGAACCCGTCGTCTCCGTTTGATTCAACCACCCAGGCATCATTGAGGGCCCTATGATTTGCCACATCACCGATATACAAGTGTTGAGGGTATTCCCTCCTCATAGGTGTATTCTGGGCTGCGTGGCCAGGGAAGCGCCTAAAATTCGCTCCTCCAGATCGTTTCGGTAATGTATATGGACTAGGCGGTGGGGAATATTGTGGCAGAGGAAGTGGTGCGAGAATCCAAGGCACAATGGCCTTATATCGAAGCCTTACCGGTCTGGATAATGATTGTTTACTTTCTCTTGCCACAACCCACCCCGGGTCGTACGGAGGTATCTTGAAAGAGAAGCCTCCCCAGCTATCAGAACTTGGGTTCGATTCTCGTTGCACGTGCAGTTGAGTAAAACAGTCGATAATCATAACTATCCACCCTCTATATTTGGAAGCTTTTCGTTAGAGAGACCGCTCTACGAGATATAGCTATTGGTATGGAGATGTGTATAACTCACAGTGGGGCTCCATACTCGTACTCAACGTACGAAAGAGTATCACTAATATGCTTTATGTGACTGGGAAAACTTGTAAATTCTTGAAATCCTTCAACAACATCTGGTGCGATATCAGTCAAGACATTATAAGGTCCGACACAATCTTCAGAAGATCGAGCATCGAACCCAGGTTTCGCTGCACGACTTGGGTAGTAAAAGGCTTGACTCGGAAGCTTTGGTCTTAATAGATCTCCCGCAGGTTCTCTAGGAACTGTGTATTCGAGAGTTAGTAAATTGAGAGTTAGCAAAATCCGGCTAAGGATACGATGGGAGTTCTGTGGTCTTGAGAAGGGTAATATACTATTTGACTTAATTGGAAGGATCGGGGACAGGGAGTGATGGACAGGCTAACGTACGAGATAATAACATGATCAACGCTATTAAATAGGTGATACCCATGGAGGTGGATGGCTGGCACCCATCCTGCGGCCTCGCGCTGTGTAGGAGTTTTGCTACTGAGTCTCGACAACTAGCCAGATTCCGGTTTGTGTGGTGGTAAGTGAACTGTTCAATTATGTTGAGGAGCCACGAATTACTCCAGGGTAAACTTTTCCATGTCTTATACTCTTCATCGTACCAGCCATGTCTTACGAGTCTCATACGCGCTCCTGCGTCTACCCATCGCGTCAAAGCCAACTCGTAATATCCTCTTAACTCGGGAGTCCAAAATTCCGGGTTTGCTATTCTGCGGGACTCGTATGTTGCACCATTGAAAGTTCCCATTCCGAAAAGCAGAGGCGCCCGAAGCGCAACACTACCGCGCTGAGGTATGATCTTGGTCCAGAATTCTTCACATAGGATAGCTGAGGCCCATACGGCGGGTATCAAGAAATTATAACTATAATGTTCGCCTCTCCTGAATTTTTCGTAAGTATTTCTATCATAATCCCTTTCACGCGCAACAAAGTTAAGATTAGGGAAGTATATAAGTTTGAAGTAGGTTGTGAAGCCCCTATGTCTCCCGCGTATATATAGCGTCGTTGGGCTAGGCTGTATCGTACCGCCCCAAATTTGTCTGGTGAATGAGTGGCCCAGCTCTGCGATCCATTCTTCTCCAAAGAACTAGTAGAACGGAAAGTAAGCTCCCCAATAATACGAAGTATTCAGCGAAATAGTATCTTACCGGTTCATCATCAGGAGTATCTGTGGCAAATCGACACATCCATATCGCGTGCTACTCGTCTTATTCAGCCTCTACTACCTAAAAAGGGGACGAGAAAATGGATTTGAGACTCACCGCAAACTCGTGCAGGAACTACGAAATTGAGTAAGTAATTAGTTATGAATATCGCAGCGCTACAGGGAATGGGCCTCGTACAAGACTAGAAAAGTTGAGCAATTGCATGCATCTTTCGGGGACCGATGTCTCCATTTCAAGTAGGGTTCGTAAGGCATAACGGACGTTGAACATAATGGTTGCTCTTCCCATTGCAGGATTGTTGAATCTTGTTGTGGCAGCCTGGGCTGGCACAACAATAGTTGTCTCGTCGCAGAAGGTACTGACTATATTGCCCTTTGTCAGATTTTCGATTGCTTGGTACAGTTGAGCACCGGACGCCCTCTGTTCCCTTGGACGGGTAATAAGCTTCATTTTGTAAGGCCTATACTGCGGGGGGAAATCATAATTGGGATTATCTCCTATAGGTATTGGCCTTGAGAATAATAGAGCATCGAGCCTTGGTTGAACATTAGCCACCTAGCTCGCAAATAACCATGTCGAGAATAAGATAAGATAATATAAATAAAGGGGAATTATAAATAAAGAGGCTACATGCCATTCATTCTGTTCTTCGCATAACTGCCCTATAACACGGCTGAAGATTTCTATAGCCTGACTGGTATATTGCCAAATGATAGGGTTGTCAACAGTGTACCACGTTTCATCAGGCCACATATTGAGGCCTGGAACAGGTTCACTTAATGCATTTAAAGCATTATGTCTTGAATCAAACCAGCAGTCTTTCCGAAAGCACGAAAACCACTGGCTCTCGTCCACGATGCTCAGATTAACCCTAAAGGCTTCCCATTGATCCCAGTTGCTCCTCCAACGGTCTTCTGCGGATGGCCATCCGCAAACGAGTCCATCATAAAGGGCTTCTATTCTCCAGGTCTTGACGTCGGGATTGGCCCATTGGACTTGTTCCCTCTCTGTCCTGAAAAGTCTGTTTAATTCCTCAGGCTCTGGTTTTGGTATGGGATCCGTTTTCCCCGGGGGTAGTGTACTAGGAAACTCTTGACGCAAGCCGGAGTGGGATAGGCCGTCAGATGTATATAGACTGTGAAAGGGAGCGTCTGAGATGCCGTGCTTTCTTGCTAATGGCGTTATAGGTCTCGTGGGGTCTTCTCGTATGTAGGAAGGTCGAAGTACGTCCACATGATAGAAATGAGGTCTTGTCTGAGGTGGTAGGCTTTGAGACAAGGGTGGTCGATGTGTTGGAGGTATAAAGTGCGGAGGTGGAATCTGAGCTGGTGGAAATAGAGGTGGATCTGGGATTCCACCTGAAATTGGATCACCGTCTTGATATGGGACGGAAGATGGATACGTATATCGATGCGGAGCTGGAAAGGGGACTGGAAATGGATCGTGAAATGGATCTTTTTCTTGGGGTGGTTGGTTGGGTCGAAATGGATTCCAACCTGAGCCTGAGCCTGAGCCAGAACCTGAGCCAGAACCCGACATTGTGCCAGGTAGTAGTAATGTCTTCGAAACGATATAGTTAGATACAACTTGAAGCGAGATATAAGATCGAGACGCTATACGGGGGGGGATATTTGGACAAGAACACACGTGCGGTCAAATTGGCAATGGTAATTGTCTAACATAGGTGGTTTAAGGATTGACGATATGTCGACTATGGACTGAGGGAACTGAATTCGGCTATCTTGTCTATATTGTACCTGATTTAGATAGTTATTTTCTATAGTTGTTTTCGACATTTCCTTTCAATATTTGCTTTTCTTCTGTAAAAGAAAGTCCTTGTCCACAAAGCAGACGTGGGACGCATCCGGATCCTGTCTTATAAAGGTCGACGTATTATTACAGTGTATAAGTCTGAGTCTAAGTCTAAGTCCAACTTCCATGTTAGCATTAAGGGGTTACCTCTTAGGTACTGCAAAACAGGTCAATTCCACGGGCAAATAAGAAGAATAAGAAGTTGATTCATTAACGTTCAGTTGTACTGAGCAAAGCTCAGCAAAGTTCCAAGTACACGAGGGTAAACCTCGGATATATATCACTTCCGTGCTCCACAATACTAATTACATGTAGTACGCGGGGGAGGGGCAGAGAGAGCACAGGTACATACATGTACATATGTGGTATCTGATAAACATTGAAACTTCCATGGGGGGGGGACCTACGAAGACGTCATTGTAGTGTACCTAACGTAAGGTACCTACTACGGTTAGGTACACGTACCTAGGTAGTTTCCTCTAGATAATATGTAGGTACATGTACGGATTAGATACAACGTGTAAAATTTGTTGTCCGTACATGCATGTACCTATATGTAGGTTCCATATATGCATCCATGGATCACAGCTCTTAGCTTCCGCAGCTCTTCTATGCATCTTCAAACCAATCATCAACCCATGAATCTTCAACCTCGACCTCTCTTACGACTATGTGACATTCTAACAAACGAATGCTTCGTATCGTCGCCAGGATGGCTCACACCTCTGCGTTGGATATCCGCTCTCTTTCCCTTCTCTATCGCAACGACAAACTAGAAGCTCCGAAGGATCCTCCCCTTAGCGGCGTATCTTCCGTGCACAATGATCGCATCGGCCTATTTCGTGGAGACATCACCACTTTATCCGTGGATGCAATCGTAAATGCTGCCAATACCTCTCTGCTCGGCGGCGGTGGTGTTGATGGTGCTATCCACCGTGCTGCTGGTCCGAAGCTACGTGCCGAGTGTCGCACCTTGGGTGGTTGTCATACTGGTTTGTCTAAGATCACCGATGCATATAATCTTCCTTGTAAAAAGGTCATTCATACTGTCGGTCCCGTATACGACGATATCAACCCCGCTAAGAGCGAGGCTGCTCTCCGCAGCTGTTACAAGTCGAGCCTGGAGCTTGCCGTGCAGAACGGGTTGAAAACTATCGCGTTTAGCGCAATTAGCACTGGTGTTTACGGTTATCCAAGTCGTGGGGCTGCTCACGTCGCCTGTGACACCGTTAGAAAGTTCATGGACAGTGGTCATGGAGAGAAGCTGGAAAAAGTAATCTTCGTCACGTTTGAGTTGAAGGACGTCCAAGCTTACAATAGCATTATACCGTAAGTCCTTCATCCCCGCCTCTCTTTTTACCAGCATTCTAGTTTGAAATTAACAATCTATATCTGCTAACATACATACATCACTATATAGCCGCCACTTCCCTCCTGCCCCTATCGCTAAAAACGAAGCCACTCAAGAGCGCACTACGGACGCCGAGACTAATACCGGCCAGGTTCCCGATGTGTCCGCCACCGGTACTGCAAGCCGTTAGCTTGTGTTAGTGGAACAGAGATCGCGTAGCAAGAGTGGTATTATCACCATGGACAGTCCTGCATTGTTGAGATGAGAAGCCATAATAGTATCGCGTACAGTATCTACCTACCTGAATTGGAGGATGGCATCCGGTACGGAAATGTGATACGTCATCAAACACTAGCCCAGTATACGACGAAGCTGGAAAATGATATTAGGAATACTGATTCAATAAGCTCTCACACTTTAACTCCTGTTAACCCAAGTCATAAGCTGAATGCTGCTGAATCTAGTTCTCATGATGGATTCGATACCTAGGTTTACCTACAAATGTATGTAGGCTGCTACGTTGTAATGCCCTGTCTAAATATACATGCCCGCTTCACTTGCTCTCTTGCCCAAAAAGTACTTCTTCCGTGTCGTAGGTGTATACCATTGGTAGCTGCCAATATGTCTCCATGTCCCCCTTGGCTGCTTTCCATGCTTGCTGTAGTACCTGAAGTAACTCCGCGTCCAACGGTCCTTTTTCTAGGTAGTCTAGATTGTGCTTTAGTTGCTGTATATTAGAGAAGCCAATCACGACCCCGTCCTGCCCTTCGACAACCCGTAGCATCGAGTGGTGTACCAACCAGCGCATCGCTACCTCCAAGGGATTCAAACCTCGTGCCTCGGCAGCTTCACGGATCAGCTGCGACCCCTTGATTATACCATCTCTGAAGTACCGCCCTCGCGTCAAATGCTGGAATGGGCCTGCCGCGTATCGTCCTTCCTTCGGGTCGTCGTCCTTCGATGTGATCCTGCCGAGGAGGAACCCGCCTCCAGTCGGGCTATATACATCGACAGCGATACCATAACGAGAGCATGTTGGAATCAATTCATCCTCAATAGTTCGGAATAGGCAGTTGTATATGGCCTGATACACTGTTGGCTTTACCCATCCATTGTGATTACACGTCATGACAATCTCGGCCACCTCGAAAGATGCATAGTTGCTGAGACCCAGTCGCGAGAACTTGCCAGCTTTATGTAGCTTATCTATAGCTTCAAGTGTAGCTGCGAAAGGCACAGATCGGTCCTGGGATGTTAGTTAGCAGGCCCCGTGAGTTTTGAAACTCGTAATCTATATTTTTTCAGTAAAGGGGTTCCGTTACAGGTGCATGAAGGTAGAGAATCTAGGTTTATGTAAGTATCGTTTCTTATGCTACTTTTATTTCCAGTGCACGTACGTCTACAGAATCTGTCCCAAGCTCCTTTAGACAAGTGTATAACGCACTTGTTAGTGCCTCTGGCTCGTGCGATCCTGATGGTAGCGGCCATAGTTTTGTGCCTATGGATAGACCTCTCTCCTTCCACCTGGCCTGTCTTGTAAATGCCTCCTGCTTCCCGCCGATATATAGGCGTGCCGTGTCGAGCTCATGGTAACCTCGCTCTTGAAAGATGTCCAGAGCCTTCTTGAAATCACCCGGATCCGTCATACGTGCCCCTGGACTTCCCTCGGGACCAATGACCATGAGGCCAAGGATTATCCGCGGCTTTCTTTGATCTGTCATTTGAGTACAATTTAGAAATCTAGAAAGAATTACGAGAGAAAACATAAAACATTTTAAACCAGGAATATTCTACTTGGGATTAAAAAATGCTATGATGAATCCAAGACAAATAACTGAGATAGTTTGTGGCTAATACCACCCCTAGTCTTATACTATACCCGGCATTCATTTCTCCCCGCACTGCCGATACAGAAAGGTCGGGACTATCTAGCTCCTATCTATACTAGAGAACTATTTATAGGTAATTCCCCTTCAATGATGGCTTATTAATTAGTTATGATAAGGTGAAATATGAGCTTATATGGGTAAGTACCTATGTAAGACTATGACCCGGTTGAAAGTAATGTTGAAAGTAATTGTGAGGTTGGTAAGTTATGTTAGTATAACTAAACTGTCTTAGTGAGTATAGTAACACAGCTATAAGAATGAAATTTCCTAGTAAAAGTAATGAATCAAAGAAAAAAAGATGATGACTCATGCCGCGTACGGAAAGTAAAGATTCAATAATATCAAACTAGACAACAAGTTTAAACAAAATAATACTCTCTTCCACCGTACCTTATTTTAGCCCGCAGCTACCCGGGGGATATTTCCGCGATTTCCGCGATCGGCTTAAAAATATATTCGATATCGGAGTATGTCATGACAGATGGACATAGTAGGCTTCGCGCCCTTCTGTACCTATGGGTGGGGCTCGTCGCTGTTCGATAGTGACTAACTAATACTATCATACTGGGGTGTCTATAATACAAGTAGACATTTAGTAAACAAAGTCTATATAAGGTTTCGAAAGCCATGGTGGTTTTATAGTAACTGTTGTACTGTAGAGCATTTTCATGTATGATAGGTCGAGACCATTTATATTTTACTAAAAATCGACGAAATATTTGCATATTCAAGATGACTGTCGACGACAACAACTTAGCTCTAAGAGCGGCTAATAATACGACGCGAAGTAGACTTGAAGGCAACCTGCATATGTTTGGCAAGAGAGCTCTTCAACACTTCGACTTTGACCCAAACCACCGCAACCTTAATCATGGTAAGTGAATCTCATCAAATTAGGTAGTCATGTGCGTCTACTTACTCATCGACAGGCTCGTTCGGGGCAAGCCCACGCGCCGTAAGAAATAAACTTCGCCAGTACCAAGATCGTACCGAAGCAATGCCTGATACCTTTATTCGTTATGATCTGCCCGATATTCTCAACGAGTCTCGAGAAGCTATGGCGAAGTTACTCAAGGCACCAGCTGATACGGTAGTGTTCGTCCCAAACGCTACGGGAGCAGTGAATACGGTCCTCCGAAATATTGACTGGAAGGAAGACTGCAAGGATGAGATTCTATATTTTAACACTATATACGGTGCCTGTGGAAAGACTATTGACTATCTCGTTGACTCGGGCCGGGGCCGAGTTTCGTCGCGAGAGATACAGATAGCCTATCCATGTGAAGACCACGACATTGTAGCATCTCTCAAAGATGCAATAGAAAAGGGGAAAGGGGATGGGAAACGCGCTAAAGTGTGTCTCTTCGACACAGTATCCAGCCTCCCGGCTGTTCGATTTCCCTTTGAGGACGTTGTGAGAGTCTGCAAACAAGAAGGGATCTTGAGCCTGGTAGATGGAGCCCAGGGTGTTGGGATGCTTGATCTCGATCTCGAGGCTCTGGATCCCGATTTCTTTGTTTCGAATTGTCACAAATGGCTTTACGTGCCGAGAAGCTGTGCCGTCCTATACGTCCCCTTCCGAAACCAATCATTGATAGCATCGACAATCCCTACATCCCACGGATACATTTCCAAGTCCGGTGACAGGTTCAACCCATTACCGAAGAGTCATCCATCGCCCTTTGTCAACAACTTTCAATTCATGGGAACTCTAGATACAAGCGCCTATCTTTGCGTGAAAGATGCGATCGTATGGCGGGAGCAGACCTTCGGCAGCGAAGAGAACATACTCAAATATACCCATGGGTTAGCTAAGGAAGGGGGTAAAAGGATTGCGCAGATTCTTGGAACTGAGGTCATGGATAACAAGTCCGGTACGATGTCGCAATGTGCGACAACAAACATCGCGTTGCCATTAACACTTGATAAGGCATCTCGTGCATCTGCATGGATGATGGAGAGGATGGCCTCTGACTACAAAACTTTTTTCCCGCTGTTCACGCATAATGGCCGCAAGTGGGCGAGGATAAGTGCACAGACTTATCTGGATTTTGAGGATTTTGAGTGGGCTGGCGAGGTGCTTCGTGAGCTCTGCCAGAGGGTCGAAAGGGGGGAAAGTAGTGAAGCATAGGCGTGTCTACAATGTCGGTGGAAGTATTTAATAGGTATAATCATCCCGTTTCTGTATTAGTAGGGTCAGGTTATACTATCAAGTCTTCCCTTTCGGATTTAGTTCAGCCTATAAGCGTGTCTTCGAATACCCGCAGCATCGACATTCACGCGGTAAACGTTACCAATAGATCCCCCGTCTTCATCCCGAATCGATATGATAACTATTGTCTTCATGTTTTCCCACCAGATGTTGTACATGAGCACATATTCGCGCCGGGCATGCCACATGCTTCCGTCACCACTCCTTCAGGCGACAACCTGATTTTCTTACCTAGAGAGTGCCAGCCCATCATCTACCCCGAGCATCGATCGCGCCGTCATTCATTCGCACCCTCCACATGGTAGACGGCAGCCATTCTTCGGCAGTGTATTGCTTCATCTTCGATATTTCGATGCCTTGAGTTTTAAAATAACGTTGTAGGTGTTCTAATTATCATAGATAATAGACTTCTCATTACAATACGTCAAGTCTCAGTAGATAAGTGCCACTCAACTATTCGGAAGTAAGGTGTAGGTCTGTAGTTTAGACTTGTGGAATAAAAATAAAGGATTATGAAAGATAAAATGTAATACCCAAGGTGTATTTAAATGATGTATTTATCGCAAATACTGCTAAATCCCCGTACACCCAACTGAATCCACGTGAGAGGCACTCGCTAAAGTTGTATATCCGATCTTGTTCCTACAAAAAAGCAAGAGCAGGTTATTTACCTGTGAATTCCTTAACCTAGGTATGTACCTAAGGTACCTACCTACATAATATTCAATGTTATGTACCACCACAATACCTTAATGCTCATTGGGTTCGGCTTCCGATAATTCGATACTTACACCGTGGTTGCCGTGATATAACTAAGCTTATATGCTCACAGGTACTCTCCACCTGCCTTCTTTATTCACTCAGTTTCAAGATAAGGTTTCCTTACATTGGAGTTGCCTTCTTCCGCTTAACTTGGGATGGGTTATTTATAATAACTGACCCTTGCCAACTTCTTTTCATTAAAACTTCCCCTCGGACATCACGATATAGGCCATCTTTCGAACCAAATCCAACAAAGATGTGGTTTAATCTTGTTGTAAGCGTAGTAGCAGTGCTGCTTTTCACCGGTAAGCATCCAGAAGAGAAAGAGGACGGTTTGTTAAACAGTGTATCTATTCTAACAGAAAGGCTACCCATTCTAGTTGGCGGCTTTGCTGACCCTTGTCGCGGTGTCCCGCCTGCTCGGTATCCGTTCAAGCTGGCCGAAGGCTGGATAGGCAAGAAAGTGGGAGATGGACTATCTTCGCCTCGTGGTATGGTTATTGATAGTGCGGATCGACTTCTAATTGTGGAAAAAGGGGTCGGGATCAGCCAACACAAGCTCGATATCGACGGGTGCATTTATTCCTCGCGTATTCTTATTCCTATGCCCGACCTGAACCACGGAATTTATCTTGGAATAGATGGCAATACACTATATGCCAGTTCAACCACAAAGGTTTTCAGATGGCCATACAAATCCAAAACTGGCGATATAGATGGAGAGCCAACTATTGTGATTTCAGGCATGTCGCCCAACAACCACGTCACAAGAACATTGATCATCCCACCCCATCAACCAGACCTTCTAGTCGTTTCTCACGGTTCCACGGGCAACGTCGACTATGCTGCTGTCGACCCGGGAATAGCAAGGGCTACTGTCAAAGTCTTTAATATCTCGGCCCCGCCAACCGGTGGTTACAACTACGTCAAAGATGGCTGGCGTGCTGGATATGGCTTGCGAAACGAAGTAGGATTGGTATTCGACGGCAATAATATGTACGACAACCCCCCCCTGTTGCTTTTAAAGGGAAAATAAGGGAATGATCTTACTGATTCTACGTAGGCTCTGGGGCGTAGAGAATAGCGCCGATCAACTCACACGCGACATCAACGGAACATCGATAGATATTCACAACGACAATCCAGCCGAGGAACTCAACTTCCTTGGCGATGTTACGACTCCTAATGATAATGTGAGCAATTTTTATATCTATATAATCTTTCAGTTAATCGTGACATGTTCCACGAAGAGAAATTCTTTTAACAGTCGATACTATAGTGGTATGGGTACCCGACGTGTTTTACGGTGTGGCAACCCGAGGCGGTCATCGCCAACGCTACTAGCGGGAACCAACTAGACGTCGGTCAGCAGTTCGTTCTGGCGCCGAACCAGACGTTCGACGACAACACATGTGCGCGAATGTCAACATCACCGCGGCTTACCTTCGAGGCTCACACCGCACCGCTCGATGCTAAATTTGACGCACCTAAGTACACCAATCTGTTCGTCACGTTGCATGGCAGTTGGAATCGCAATCCTCCAGCTGGGTATAAGCTTGTTGCGGTACCATTCCAACGTGATGCTGCCAATGGTGGAGCTTACGCTCCTGTCGCACCAGCTAATTGCAAGACCGGGTATGTAGATATCTTCTACCCGCCCGACGAAGGAAATTGCTCGTCATCAAGCTGCGCGCGACCTGTTGGACTAGTTTTCGACGGGGCTGGACAGTTATACATGTCAAGCGATACATCCGGCGAGGTGTTCAAGCTATACAACCCTTGAAGAGGATATTTTAAGGGACAAGGAAAGATTCCGGGAAGAGGAAGAAAACTACCTAATATATTGCTGGGGACTGAACGGTGTTTAGGTACTTAACAAAGGTATTTGCGGTGTCTTATGAAGAGGTCAAGAGCCTAGGGCTTGACAGATAAAAACTACACCCTCATCAGGGATCAATTGCCTGGTCGGAGTTATAGGGATTTGCGCGCATGAATTTCTAAAATACTCGTATAGTAGAAGAAAAAAATCGGTTGCGTTTATTATTCTCGCATTATGGGTACCTATCTAGGTACACCCCAATTCTTTTTGGTGAGTTCTTTCATTGTGAAGTAGAACACTTGGCCATTTTAAACACGTGAATTTCCGCCTGCTTTCTTCTCATCGACTACTTCGACTTGGTCTACCTCTGCCCCCATACCCATCTTCTCATTGAAGGCCTCGTCCTTGAGGTCAGCATCCGCATTACCGCGAAGCCCGATTCTGTACCATGGCAGTTCAAACAGACGATCCATGCTTTCCAGTGAACGGCCACTCGTCTCGGGGACGAAAAACCAGACCCATAGACCGCCAAGAATGGTAATCGCCGCGAAGGACCAGAATGTACCCATGGGTGAGATACCTCCTTGGGCTGTGGGTAGTAGCATATTAGGCACAGCGCGCGAGTTGCCGTATTGGTTTGCGAAATGTAGCGTCATGACGATAGAAGTAGAAAGGGCACGGATGCGCAAAGGGAACAGCTCGGCCGTCAGGAGGTATTCTATAATCGTGATTAGTAACTGTTATCCTGTTATCCTAGAAATAGGGGCTGGACGTTACATACGCATCGAGTTCCATCCAAGCGCCCAGCCGCATCCCGATATATAGATCATGGCGATAGCGCCACGGCTGGCACTTGCTTCAGCTTCTGGCAACACATAACTCTCATCTACTCCCAGCTCCGGGACCGCCGTTAGAAACCCGGCTACATAAATCATGGCAATTGCCTGTAATGTGATCCCAATGAGCAGGGCACGCTTGCGTCCGATGACGTCGACAAGAAACAAAGCACATATGACGGCCGACACGAATTTGACGATGCCGAATACACCAGTGACCAGCAGCGACTCATTCTGGCCACTAATGCCGAGGATTTTGAAAAGGTCGGGCGCGTATAAGGTGATAGACCCAGCTCCGGACCATTGAGACAGAAACTGAACCATGGCACTGAGATACAGGCGGTAGAGGTTGCTAGGAATTAAAAACATCTCCTTCAACACTCCGTACCAGTTAGATCCCATGGTAGCTTCAAGTTCTTCCTCGTGCGCGGTCCTAATGGCGTGTATCTCCGAAAGAACATAGGGGTGATCTACTGCCAGGTGGCGGATGTGAGCCATGGTCTCAGTAGCTTCGTCATGCTTTCCTTTCTTGATGAGGAAACGCGGCGATTCATACTGGAAGAACGTCAAGATGAAAATGAGACCAGAAAAAATGATATGCAGACTTGTTGGTGCGAGCTAGCAATCGTCAATGTTAGTCTCATGAGGTAGGTAATGAGAGGCAACGCAATAATACATACCCATCGGACGTGAGTGGAATCACCTAAGTTAACCTGGGCGCCGTAGTTGGTGAAGTAAGCGAGGACAATGCCTACATACACGAAACCCGTAAAGATACAAGTACACAGGCCACGGATGGAGGCTGGCGCAATCTCGGCAATCTATTTCAAGTCAACATTCCGTGTTAAACCGGGACCTATTCCAGTCTTTAACATAGGAGGATTCCAGAAGAAGCTTCTCAAATGGAAGATGAAAGATGAAATATGAAATTATATTCCGACATACTACGAGTAAGTTAGCGCATATAGACGACAGCATAGTAGGGAATAGTGAAGAGGGAATGGGGAAAGAAATAATTGGAGGATATACCATAAATAGGACCAACAACAGGGGTCTGGCCAACTCCAAGACCTGCGATGAATCGTCCAGCGTAAACAGCTCCAAGACTGCCACCATTGCCCATAAAGATTGCAATACCCAAAATCCACAAGACGCAAAGCTGGCGCGTAGCCCATATCCTACCGATGCGATCGCAAATGACGAAGGCGAATAAAGCTCCGCCAACAGAGCCAAGCTGGACCATGGAGGATACATTGGCCTTGATATTAGTCTTCTCGATATCGCTATATGAATCATAGTTGATTGTCCTCTGAAAATCCTTGGAATTGAACGCGCCCGAGATAAGACCCTCGTCAACCCCCCGGGCTGCGCCAAGGAGACCAAAGGAGATGACGGCGAACCATAGTCGCCAATTGAAGACGTTCTTGGGCTCTCCCAAGTCCTTCAATTTGAAGATATTGACGGGTTTCTTGACGCCTCCAGCCATTTTTATGTAGTCTATTGAGGAACACTAGACTCTACGGGAGCTGGCGGCTACTACTACGAGACAGACAACTACTTCTCTTCTCGTCAGGAGATCGCCCAGCTTATATAGGTAAGCGTAGCTCCTCTTTCATTAGTTACTCGACTATTATCTTACGCCGACTTTGAGCGACACGCTCCGCACGGGGCACGTCGCATCCAGCGTGACCTCTTCTCCAAATTCCAAATAGCAAAGAGGGAAAAGCACTACCTATGTAACCACCCCCATGCTATGTCTATGTGCTCCATGCTATATGCCCCGTGCTATGTGTAACCAAAGCCAAGAATCACCTATGATCCTGGTACAAATATACCTACTACTATGTAAGTATGTATGTAGGTACGCCATGGGGACCCCGCGTTTGGCTTCTCCTCACTCTCGGTGCTACTATGTAAGGATCCAGCGAGCGAGATATGGGGAATAGGGAATGGGGAACGGGGAACTGGGAACCAACCAACGATGCAATGTTACAATATTATAATATTTTCTCTTGGCTCTCCGATAACTTGGCAAGTTAGCTGCCGGCTTTCGCCATTAGAACTAACCCGATGCGTAGGGAGGCATAATAAGGGCCTGGGCAAAGGGTAGGGTTTATGTTAGGTTAGTAGGTTGTGCTTCTAACAACTTGGGCCAAGCTAACAATGAGGCGATATACACGATTAACCTAGTGACTACGGATGTTGGCATCGTCGGTCTGTATTTCAAGCTAGAGCTATGATAGACGGTGTAAGTTAGTTCGGTCAGATACGTAATAATCGCGTGACGCATTGGAATGCCCAGAGAGTAGCGTCTATCCTATTCCCTATTTATACCTTTCTCCGACTTACCAGCCTACGCTTTGGGTGCTCCATCTTGGAAAGCTAGAAATTGCACTTCCCCACGGGGAAACTATCGTGAGATTTTCATTTCACTTTTCTCTTTTCTGCTTTCCGTGTCTTGTTGCTCTTCACTTCTTACGTACGCCGTCAACAGGGCTCCGCAGTAACATCAGAAACCTGCCAACGACAAGCCGTCTATTATAAAACGCTTTCTACGCCGAGACAATGTAGTTCTTAGTGACAAAAACCTTTGATGCTGATTCTAAATAGGTATGATTGTGATCCAGCTAGCTGGCAAAGCACTTGGACCGAATCCGGTAAGGAAATAGGCGAGTATAATCTCCTTATCCCCACATCCGGATGCTAAGAGCTTTAGTTAGCCGGTAGAGATGAACAAGCACCAGTAGTTTAGCTACTTAGGTAGATATAAGACTACGGGCCGGTGCCGTACTTTTGCCGGCTTCTAATACCGCTACTGCTGATGCCAATATAAACCAAGATTTCGTAGCGTCTTGTCTAGACTGTCAGAGATGAGGCTTTGACAACTACCTAACCCAACACAAGGATAATTTCCTTTTATATCGGTAAACTACGTTGCTGTTGTCCTTGGGATTTTATATTGTATTAGAACTTGTCTCTTCTTGTTAGTTCTGATGTTGCCTATGACTATTGGAACTCTAAGTTGACACGTGAAATTTGTTGGAATACTACTTAGGGTAGAGACTGGATATAGTTACCAGGCCTAACTCAACCAGTAGACATAAACCAATAGGTATAACTAGTATTATATTATACTGTATAGTCCCTGCTAGTATTGTTGTCCAAGAATCTTATAAGTGAATTAGTAGTTTCATTTCTTTAACCCAGGACTATACCATGCGTTCAGGGGTTCGGAAGTGTTATCTTAACATTTCTCAACTTTCCATGTTTTTAATCCTTACCATGGAGCTATATTGGACACGTGGTATTCTTGGCGGTCTTCTCTTTCATGGGAGTAAAAGTAGTTCGATATATGCATTCATAGGTTAAGTTCACTTGCCTCCGTGAAAAAGACTCTCGGACCTTTGGACGGGGTGGCGAGGAAACGGCGTACAGCCGAAGCAGAGCAGATAATATCCCGGGAAAAGTAGGAACCGGAACCCATCGCGTATGTTTGGCGCCGTTGGCTCATCTTAGATAGCTTGTTCGCGTTGTCGGCACAAATATGTAAGTGACTACCTAGGTTAACAGATAAGTATTCCGTCTCACCGTGCATAGGCTGCGCGACGGGCTAGGACCTCTTCTGATGCGGACATTCGAAATCGTGGGTACGGCATTGAGGGAATATTTCATAGTTTGGCTTGGTGTAAGTAGCATTTATAAAATGAAATAAAAATAGAATAAAAACCCTCACCCAATTTCTTCACCTGGTAAACATGCGACAACCAAAAAATAGGGCGTGTGAAATCACACAATGAACTCAAGTCTTGGCCGTAAGGTCCAGATCGCAGTCCTTAGGGCTAAGCGACATCGTATTGTCCTCCCGGATCTTGTGTTCAGTCGCACCCGGCTTTATCAGTGGGCTAAGCTTGCAGCCGCCTATAGGATAGCTCTCGCTGGTGCCACGGCATTTTCACGTCGTAGCGCATCTTCTTTCGCAGCAGGAGGGAAGGACAAGATCTGGAAGCTCGTGCGATAGGGTTTAAAGGTCACAGTTCCGATAGATTGTTTGCGCTGCGTTTCCCAAGACGAAGAGACCTAGATCTAGACCTAGACTTGCTGATGGTCCCTCAGGATAATATTAAATAAGAAACTTGGCGACAGCGACATGGCCTGTTAATAACTTAGCCTCTCCACAGCAGGGTCCGGGCGATATGGCCAAAATCGCCGGTGATGTCCTTTATTTTCTTGGGAGTCCCCATCTCCCCCCACACATCTTTAGGACAAGCCGTTAGGGGTTAGGCTCGCATGTTAAGTACAGAATCCTTTACGCCTCAGAAAATATTGTGGCGTAATGGGACGCCATGAGGATCTACTATCTTCAGTAACCTAGGTTGGTGACTTGTGTGTCTTAGAGTATCGAGTTTAAGTGGATTGGGGTTCTCCAGCTTTGGCATACCTGAGGTATGTAGATTAGGTGTGTGACATACTAACCTAGGTTAGTAGGATCTCTATCCCAGCGTGGGGAAATGAGGGGATGGCCAGGGAAGTAAATCGTATGAGGATCTAGTAATATAGCTATATGAGCTGTATGAGTCCGTGTTCGAGAAAATGCTGTTTAGTACCTAGGTTAGGCCCTTAGGGCTCCCCTGTCCCGTTATATTTACTTGTGCGGCTGACCATTCGGCTTCGTTCGGTATGCCGTTGCTACATATTCTCGCCTCCAACAATGATGTAACTTCGTGATAATGCACGACCTCATAGTATGTAGGTATTGAATCAGATTTGTAATACACTAGGCCCGCGGCTTGCTCGAGATGCATACGCTGATATTCTGGATATTCTGAGAGCTATGTACATACATCATACCCCATAAAGGTACCCAATGTATGTAGTGTGGTAGTATGGACGTCTGGAAGTACGTGGTAATAAAAGTACAACAGAAATCCAGCACATGCCTTACCCTACCCTAAAAAAACACGGACGCGATTTGAGCAAACGGAACCAAAACTCTCCCCTCCCCATCCCTCCCCATCCCTCATCATCTCCACAGCCGTCAGCCGTCAGGGGCGAGAAGCAGCAGCTCTCTAATTCAACCTAGTAGGTTTATCAGTTTACCAGGTTACCAGTTTACCAACAGCCCTTGCCTTCTTCCTCCTCTTTCAACGCAACGCTTATATCATAGCTTCCGTACACTACCGATCGTCGGATAGTCTAGCCCATAATATGAAAGAAACCTCGTGGTCTTTTTGTTCTTGGCTCGGATCTCAAAGAAAAATGGCAAGAGTATTCGATAGGCCAAGCCTGTAGAGCCCGCGATGGTACCGCCCTCGGGTGTTTCTTCTCACTCTCATGACTGTTGGCAACATAACGTCAGCTATCCGCCCAAATATCTACCCAATCATCATCTCCGTAACTTGCATATGGGATCCCGGTAGCTCCAGGGATCCCATTCCATTCCCCCGCACCACCCCAAGATTAATCCCCTAGACCGCCTACATAGAGGCAAGAGGACCTTCGGGTTGGGTTGGGGTGATGACCAGGTTGTTGTATGTAGGAAACCACATTATAATAACCTGTCGAGTATCCCGTATTATCTCCATTATCTCCCGTAAGCCGTAGCCATTTATTCCATCACTTTTTTCTCTCATCCCGGCCTCTGTTAAATACGACCGAGTCCCTCCTGACTCTGGTCATTGTGTGTTCTCTTATTGTAGTGAACATCGCACAAACGAGAGCCTCATTTGCTTGATATAGCTCAGCAATGGCGACAATCGCTAAGAACGAAGGCGCACCAGCGCCTCACAACTCTTATGGAAATGTAATTGTCGATGAGTCCGACATGCACCCTCCTCATCATGGCATGTCGGCGAGAGAATATTTGGCTACGCGTATCTCTACGCTGAAGCCACCCATGACGAAAGCACCCAACCCGATTCGCTTAATTAGAATGCTGAATCGACACCAATGGGCTTTCTTTGGTGTCGCATTTTGGGCCTGGGTAAGTCTGACTGTTTGCTCCTCTTCTATCTCTGTGTCGTCGTCGTCGTCGTCGTCGTCGTTGTTGTTGTTGCTGACCGTGTTCGGCAATCTGTTGTGTGAATATAGACATGGGATGCTTTCGATTTCTTCACTGTATCCTTGACAGTTGACGACTTGGCCGAATCGTTCGACAGGACCAACACGGATATCACATGGGGCATTACGCTTGTCCTCATGTTTCGATCTGTCGGCTCCATCATGTTCGGTATCGCGTCTGATCGGTACGGTCGCAAGTGGCCCTTCATCGTAAATAACTTGCTATTTATCGTACTTGAATTGGTATGTCGCTTATTTGCACATCACTTACACCACTTACACCACTTACATCATGGTTCATGCTCCCCAGAAAATCCATTGGAGGGTTCCACCCCCAAGCCCCAAGCCCCAAGAACACCCCCATGAAGTTACCTCGTAGCGTGACGTTCCTTAAGCTCGGGATGTCAATCACTATCCCACAGCTTGGCGCCGCTTGGCGCAGCGTTGGCAAAGCTTCGTTTTTGTGGTTCCAGCGTCGCGTTTGAGCGATATTCCTCTTTTTAAGAGTAACTTCGGATCGCTAACTTGCGAATTATAGGGAACCGGTTTCTGTAATACGTACGGTCAATTTCTAGCTTGCCGAGCTCTCTTCGGAGTCGCTATGGGCGGTCTTTATGGAAATGCCGCCGCAACGGCTTTGGAAGATCTACCGAACGAGGCCAGAGGTTTAATGAGTGGTATCCTTCAGCAAGGATACGCTTTCGGTTATCTCCTCGCCACAGCTTTTGCCCGCGGTTTGGTCAATTCCACCTCTCACGGATGGCGTCCTCTATTTTGGTTCGGCGCCGGACCCCCTGTCCTTTTCATCATCTGGCGTTATTTTCTGCCCGAGACCAACACATACATAGAACACCAGGCAATGCGACGTGCTAATGGAAGTATCGGCAAGACGTTCATGGAGGAGGGCAAGGTTGCTCTGAAGCATCACTGGATGTTACTCACCTACTTGGTCCTCCTCATGGCTGGTTTCAATTTCATGTCTCACGGTTCTCAGGACTTGTATCCTACCATGCTGAAAAACCAGTTCAACTTCAACGCTAACCAAGTCACCATAACCCAAATTGTTGCGAATATTGGAGCCATGTCTGGAGGAGCTGTTGTAGGTTTCTGTTCGCAGATCTTTGGTCGTCGTCTCAGCATCATTGTTATGTGCATCATCGGAGGTGCTCTGCTATACCCTTACACGTTCGTCTCTAACGAAAGAATTATCGCCGCCGCATTTTTCGAGCAGTTTTGCGTCCAGGGTGCTTGGGGTGTCATCCCTGTGCATCTGATGGAATTATCGCCCGGTGCATTCCGAACCTTTGTTGTCGGCACCAGTTACCAGCTTGGTAATCTGGTCTCGTCCGCCAGCTCTACGATCGAAGCCACAATTGGAGAGCGTTTCCCCCTTCCGCCTAAGGGCACGGTAAAGCGGTATAACTATGGAATTGTTATCTGCATATTCATGGCTTGCGTTTATGTTTATGTTATCCTTCTAACTCTGCTCGGTCCTGAGCATCTGAGCAGGAGCATGGACGTCGGCCACGATGCCGATGCAGTAGAGGTAGCTGGCCAAGAGAGCGTCAGTAAAGCCGTCGGACACGGAATTACCGGACGCGAAGCTTCCGTAAGCGAGGATGGTGACCCAGAGAAAGGAACCGTTACTCATGCTCCTTAGGAGTAAATTTGCAATGACTCGACCATATTCGGAAGGGCACGGATCCGTGCCGATAAGTGGCATGCTGATGCCTAGTGACCCGCCGTGGGCGATTGTGTTGGATCTATATAACAGGAATCGCTAGCAACTGTCTGTCATTCACTGATGATCATGTTTGAACTTTTTTAGGATATCAGTTTTCCACAATGGGAATATCACGGATATTGTACTTGGATGGGATGATGAGGCCGGGAACATTTTTGATACCATTGACTTAGGATAGCGACACCGAAGTAGTCGTTCTGTATCTATGTCTTGATGATAATGACTGACTGATATGATTCGGAATAGAATTCATTATTGGTCTACAAGTACATAACTCATCTGGAAGTGAACCCATCCTTTGTATTATCGATGTGGTGCTACAAGGCAGTATCTTCTTGTCATTGGCACGACCATATTATCTTGGACGGCGAGTACTTAGCTGTAACTGTATGACTGGAGATCTCTTGGCCTCGAGTCCTGAGCGTGACCATTGTCATACGGCGGGTGTAGTTTTTCGGCCGGATAAAGCTTGAAGGTGGTAAGAGTTGCCGACCCAGGTGCCGAATGGTCAGCCCGGGTATTGTTCGTCTTGGCCGTGTTATGTAGCCATCGCATACATTAGCTAATGCGTCTCTCATATATGTTAGCAAGGCGCAATTATAGACTACCTAGGTACCTAACTAGGTAGTTAGCTTGATATCTTGCTCATATGCTCAACGATCTACATGTGAACGATGTCGTTCAACGCCAGGGGGTATCGTATCCGAGCACTTTTAGTGTCTCTTAGATTATTCGTAAAGGACAAATATTACAATGCAACTAGCTGTCCAGTATATATCCCAGATTGCCTAAATCTTTCCCAACGGGCTTCTATAAAAGCTTACCCTTAAGTCATTAAGGCTCGCAGTCTTAACTAGAGAGGCTTTTTTGCGGACGACTAATCCTCGACTAGATTTGGGTGCATAGAGTTAAGCAAGCTCTCTAAATTTACCCAGCTTCATAAGTTAATTCCTTTGGCTTATAGCAGAAAGAGGATGTGATTAGTTAATAAGGTTAATTAGGTTTATAAGCTACTTCTTCGACATGCACGCAAAACGGACATAATCAACAAGATAGGCACATTTACCTTCCAGATATCACAACAGCTGATTTTTTCTGTCTATGATTGGCTTTCAGAGTAGTCTCCATTGGGGGTGTGGCTACACATACTGCACATGCTATTAAGAGACAGGTTTTTGGACTCAACGTTGACGTCATAACCAAATCAACCTTCAGCTATCAACTCGTTTATGCCCGGGTTTAGGATCAACCAGGAATCAATAAACTCTTTTTACGCGAGCATGAGGTTAACTGATTCAGGTAGATATAGAAATTTAAGCAGTTAACCTAATCCATAAAAGAAATTCGTACACGTCTTGAAAAATCCTAGTGTTCCAATTACATCTTTATTTATTCCACCATAAATATGGAAATTAATATCCCTAACATTATCGACGCTGCCATGCCGAATCGCGGTAACAGGAACGTAGGAATTATTTCGTCTAACCTTGGTCCCAATCATAATGACCCTGGCTTTCTCTCAAAGGACTTTCCACATTCTCCCCCAAAGCTATATGTCACTGCTGAAGACGATGAATTCGATCTACTCACTCTTAATGAATGGAAGAGTGAGGGGTTCAACGTCGAGTATATACCTATGGGCAACGGCGGTAATGAGTATCGAATGAAGTTAGAATCATTAAGTAGTCGCAACTTGGGCCCCTGCGAAACCTACGGCATCATTGGTATGTTCGCAGTCTAGACAGACTAAAATACCGTTCTCTAGGCTCTAGCTCTCGGTTTTTTACTGCACAAGAGAGTCATGTATCACGTATTACTTTCTAACGGTAGTCCAGCGTACGGCGATGCGGCCGGCTTCTGCTTGGAGCACTTCCACGTACTCCATAATAATCCCGAGTTTAAGCTCTGCTGTCTCATCGCATACTATCCTACGCGCATTCCAGACACGCGTACCAAGTTCCCGGGTGGTATCCATGTACTTGTTCACCTTACCACCGGCGAAGAAGTTAGCATAGTGAAGCAGACGCAAATAGTAGGGATCCAGGGGAAGAAAAGGACCGATAAACGAAAAATCGATCGTGGCATGGGTACTGGCGGGACAATGCAAGTGTCGTATCCGAGCTACACCTACAACGCAGTACCCGGGTTTGCAGAACATGACCTGGACGAGTTTGATAGAGTCAGCGCAGAACTCAGCTGGAGCAGAAGCCTAGCAACGGTGCAAAGTGCGTTTCGGAGAGACGCCGACCTGGAGAAGGTGCTCGAGCAGAATATTGAAAGTACGTGAAAAGCTTACCCTCCTTTTTTCATGATGCTTGCCTGGCCCGTTCGACAATATAAAATAAATGAACAAGATGGTACCCTTAATATCGTTTAACTACCTTAATACCGTTAACACCTATCAGGTAAATTCTACAGCCGCAACTTGCAACAGACCTTGTCAACTTATACGACTCACAAGAGTCCTCACGTCACCTATGTCCCTACCTTGACGGGAGCCATTGGCTCCGAAGAGCTCCAGAGATTTTATTCCGAGTTCTTCATTGATAGGAACCCCGAATCCATGAAACTCACTTTGCTTTCACGTACAATCGGTTCCGACCGTGTCGTCGATGAGTTACACGTCTCTTTCAAGCATACGCAAGACATGCCTTGGATACTTCCAGGTGTACCCCCGACTAACAAAAAGGTCGAGATTCTCATAGTAAGCATCGCGACTTTACGGGGAGGCAAATTATATCACGAACACGTCTACTGGGACCAGGCCAGTGTGCTAGTACAAGTGGGTTTATTGGATCCGAAAGTAGTGCCGAAGAAAGCCAGCGATGCAGGAGTTAAGCGGTTGCCAGTTATGGGGAGGCGGGCGGCTAAGAGTGTACTGGTCGGCTACGACGAGAGTGATGAGGGCGAGGCCACAAACGAGTTGATACCTGAATGGGATGACGACGCTGACGACGCTGACGACGCTGACGACGCTGTAGGTAACACAGCAGACGAGGGCGACAAGAGTAACGGTGCCAAGACTAAGGAGGCAGAAAACGATGAGAGGACAACAGAGGGATTGGGAGACAGGAAACCTGAACAGTTTACACCAAGTCAAGAACAGTATGAAGATACGAAAACGCAAGGCGATTAATGGGACTTGTTGTTTTGACTGATACGAGCCTAAGGATGTTCCCTGTTGAAAGAGAATGGGAATTTGTCTCAAATAATGTACGTTTGGATATATCGACAGTGTGTACCGGTTTCTAGCCGCCGATCTTTAGCTCAACTCGGGTCGTCTATAATATTATTAATGTTGTTTTCCATCGACACTGCGCTACGAAGATGTAAAACCATGGCTCTCAAGTGGTCGATCTAGATGGACTTAGATTAGGCAATTAGTTAGGTAGCAAAATGATGGGTCTGAAACTAAATAGTCGTGAGGTTCAACCAATGGTTTAGAAGCAATGCCCATTCGTATATCGATTGACGTCCGTTCTCAAGGGCTGTGCTGGCTTTGGCGTGCCTTATAGCCGGTGCCTGCATTGCTCGAGATTATATGTGGCTTTTGTATACATAGCCAACTATTATATTTATTATACATCATACATTATACATTATCAATATTTTAATATAGGTGTCAACGACTAAATGTGTATGATAATTATTCGTAAAGTTAGTTAAATAGGTACTTATCTTTCCTTATTATTTCTTATATAATATGGTGTTTGGATGAACTGCATTGCCGCACAGTTTATGCTGTATACCGGCCGTACAGGAGGGCGGAGTACCGAATAAGAAAGCTTATCCGCCGCATCGCATCCGCAGGCTAGGGTGGTTTTAATCGGGGTATCGGAGTCCATGTCGCCCCGATTCGTCACCCGATTCGTTTCAAGTTAGTACAATCCACGACGAAACATAAATCTCTGGGCGCATTTATGCGTCATCAGATGTCTTTTATCCAGTATCGGTATCCCATCCCCCTGTTGCGATAAGGTCCCGGATCAGCCAGACTTCCCCATCCCGATGTACGATGCCGAGTGTCCCGCCACAGCGAATCGGGCGTTTATCGAAACGAATGCCGGACCAGAAGTGCGTATGTACACTACAAGGACTTCAAAAAGTTTAACCCTACATACATATGTACGAGGGCCTACAAGGCTGGAAACGCCAAACCAACTACTACTTCAACTACCGTGATAAATCGTGCCGGATCGGCAGGGGCCATGGCAAGTTTCCGACCAGGTTGTGGGAGGGATGTCTGTTTTATAACCCTGGTGATCCGCGCTTTTCGGCCCCATTGACCTTTGAACATGGGCTTATTTTGTGTAGGACGGAACAGTCAAGACGAAGATCAATCGCATTGGCCCTCTTCATAAGTCTTTTCTCTGTGCTCACCGCGCTCTCTCGCTGTACCAGAATCGTTTACCATAGGTTTACCACAGGCATGTAGGCGAAACGATGCGGGCTCCCCTTGTTGTGCTCGATACGTACAACGTAGACAAACGTCCATTTGACGGCGATCAATCACTTAACGCAGGGTCGAGCCCAACTCGACTCCACTGAGAACACACGATGGACTATTACCAACCGCCATCTGTGCGACATGATCATCGCAAGGTCATCTCAAGGCCATCGTCGCAAGGACGCTAATAGAAGGATAAGTAAGACATGTATCGCCGTGTATTTTGCGACGATTTCCTTTTCTCACCATCTCTTTTCTCATTCCATCTTTAATCATCCGACCAGACACTGCCGGCAGCGTCTTTTTTTTTTTACCTTTCGTTTTTTCCCCATTACCTTCGCTTCAGATTCTGTATTTCTTATATACCGCTTATTTTTCTTCGTCAGTTTCTGTTTTCTTCCTTCAAAATGGGTTTCGGGGTACTAGAGGATAGGCATATGACCCGCCCGCCGGGGACATCGAAGCTTGGCGAGGATGAGGGTCCGTCCTTCGATACAGGTCAGTTATGGGAGCTCCGCTTGCGATGCCGTCCGTTATCCTCCGTGCTAAATAAAATATGCATTTTTAGCGAGCGTCGGCGAGTTAAAGAAAGATGGCGATATCATCCTGGTGCCGCAGCCGAGCGATTCGCCTAATGATCCCCTCAATGTCAGTATTCTCGATTTGCAAACGCTTAAGTGGCTGAGGACTGATGAAGAGATATAGTGGTCAAATGTCAGGAAAAACGCAATCATGCTCATTCTCGCCTTCAGCTCCGGCGTTACAACCTCGTAAGTAGGCCCGGAGTCGTAGCTTTTACTGTACACGGACAATCTAACGTAAACAGGCTTGGCCCGATGATTTCACCTGGTTTGGTGATAATCAGTAAACAGTACGATGCCAGCCCTGACACGGTGGCTACCTTCATGGTCGGGTCTATTCTTCTGTTTACGGGTGCCGCGACTTTCTTTTCGGCTTCGGGAGCAAATATCTGGGGAAAGAGGCCGTTCTTCGTGATATCTACGCTATTGCTGTTGATATCGAACATCTGGGGTACTTTTGCCGATGTACGTCAAGCCATGGTGTTCTTCACCTTTTCTCCTCGCTGCCTGTACTAACACACCCTATAGTCATTCGGTTCATTGGCCGCTATGCGTATCTTTCAAGGTATCGCCTCTGCTCCCCTAGAGACGCTAGTCACGTCGACGGTTTCGGATCTATTCTTCGTCCACCAGCGAGGATTACGCCTATCATTGTGGGGAGTCATGTTAGGGACTGGCGTTTTGCTGGGTCAGATCATCTCTGGTTACATCATCGAGTCAATGGGTATCTCCGGTACCTTTGCTATTAGTGCGCTCATCTTCTGCCTGATTTTACCCCTCATGTATTTCGTAATCGTCGAGACCACGTACACGAAGCCGCCTACCACCAAGTTCGACGACAAGCGCCCCGGGTCGCGAGCATCCTCGATAGGGAGTTTCGATCTTAAAGGCGACGACCCAGCCAACGAGCCAAAGGAAAGCTACAAGAGCCAGCTCCGTATCTTCCGTGGCCGATTATCGAACGACTCCTTCTGGAAGGGCGTTATTAAGCCATTCCCTCTCATTTGCTTCCCTGCCGTCATATTTTCCACTCTCGTATACGCGTCTTTCTTTTGCTGGCTCTTGATGATTGGTGTCTTGTCTGTCAACATCTTCACCGCGCCTCCGTACAACCTTACACCGGCAGAGGTTGGACTCACCAACATTCCCCTGGCCATTGCCACGTTAATCTTCTCGCCACTTTCCGGATGGATGGCTGACGCAGTCCCTGTTTGGTTGGCAAAGCGGAACGGGGGCGTTTTCGAGCCTGAATTCCGCTTGGTCCTTATGGCCATTGCTATCCCATTCAGCACAATTGGATTTATCGGGTTCGGAATCGCTGCTTCTGAAGGGTTATCCTTAACCTGGTGCTTAGTATGGATTACGATGCACTCGGTAGCCGTGCCATTCGCTGCTCAGGCATCGGTCAGCTACGTTATTGACTGTCATACCAAGGATGCTAACCAGGCATTCGTGACTATCAACTTCGTCAAGGCGCTTTTAAGCTTCGTCGCCTCGACCATCGGAAACGGACTGCTTATTGAGCACGGACCTAAGGTCCTATTCATCGGAATCGCAATGCTAAACCTAGGAATCAGCCTGCTCACTATCCCTAGTTACATCTACGGCAAGAGGCTAAGGAGCTGGGTGGCGAGGAGTGAATGGGCCAAGAAGATTTGAACGGTGCAACAACACAAGCCTTTTCCCTGGCGTGTTGGATCTATGCCTGTATTGTATAGGATATTTTATGACGGTGGACTTGGTTGAATCCTGTATCTTGGGGTTCTTGGGAAACGGACGATATGACGCGAACGGCTGGCCGAATGTATTTTTCCATGTTATTAAAGAGATATGTCAGTAATGTGCATTAGCCATTTTAATTATTCTAGCAAGCTAGGAGCCAAACCTGTCTATCACAAGTGATCACATCAACGTGTACATGTATGCTGTTCGTGATCTATTAATACTAACATGGCAAGTCAATAATTATGAAATCATCGAGGCACTTAGGCAGAATTTTAAATAATATCAACTCAATCATATTATATTACTGAATCGATAGTAAGTTATTAATAGAGATGAGAACAAGCTTTATTGTAGGCAACATAAGAAAGTGTATCATATGATGTCTTAATACAAGCTGCTAGAACATGCTGTAAGTCGTCGACTTGTATGACCGTTTCGTCCCGAAACCGGTTCGAAATATGAAAGCATTCCCGCTATGATGAATATGATGATTAAAAATTCGTATAATCCTCCGCCCTCCTAAAACATGTCCAAGGGTTAAGGTTACAGGATATAATCAACCGCGCCCCCAACCCTTTATAGTTTTGACTCACTACGCCTTTCCATGAGGCCGATGGCGGTGAGGGTTCTCCTGGTTGGCCACGAGGCAGTCGCCACACTGCAGCTCGCCATCCACACGCTGAAGCCGGCATCGACACTCGCATTTGCATCCTTTGTATGAGGGTTCATTCTTGCCCCATAACTCAACCCTCTCGCATCTGAGGCAAAAAGTAGGCTGTGGCTCGGCAGAGGTGTGACCGGAGTTGCTGACGTATACTGTAGGGATCCGCGCGAGATCAGGACACTCGCATTGAATGCACGCACAGTGAGGTCGGTTGGGTACTGTGACCATGGTATAATAATGTGGGTTAGGACGGGACGTTGGCTCAGTATCGAGGAGAGTGAGAGAGCCCATTCGAGATATATAGTCGTCGGATTGAGTAGTTGGTTGGACTTCATGTAGCCCGGGTGTGTTTGAAGACTGGCTAGCCATGGCGAAACTAGATGTTCTTTGTTGTTAGATTCTCGTTTTGTTTATAAGAATAGCCGTTGAGATTACGTACTTTGATCTTTTTTAATCTCCTTGTTATTAATTTGTGAGGCTTTGTCTCTTCAGGGGCGAAGGAATCTGGCAGTGGTTATTCGATATGCCTAGGGGTTGGCTTCAATAATACATTCGAGAGATTCGAAAATATGAAATGAATTGCTTTGGCTTCTTCTCCATAACTGGAATAGTCGGGGGGAGGACGAGAATTTATACCTGATCGGAGACACATTGACATTGTAGTTAACCTCACAGAGTTCAGTGATACTACGAACCTACGCTCAACCCCTTTAGTATTAATAGAAACCGAACGAAAGAAAGCGTAGCATCACGGGCTAATAATTCGTGTATACTTTAAGCTCAGACATGCCGCTCATACTGTTGAGATAAGCGTAATAACATATAGATTTCATGACTCTATTTCACCCAACGTATTAGATTTATTTATTACGTTGCTTTTCCAGAGGCAATGGGCTTTCACTCCATAGAGGCCCATTGATGGAAGTATGAGACTCGGACTCTAATTGTATGTGAGAATTAGGTTAAGCAACCTCGTAAGAAGAAGTGTCTGGCTTGGGGGGATCATTGTTTAATCATCTGATCTCATTGTCGTTTAAGTATTATACATTAGGCACATATCATAATTCTTCTAGTTCGCCAATTGACCATTTTAATGCAAGCGAGACACTATACTGGTATTAATGTAGATTATTAAATAAAACTACAACTCATTATGATCGCCATACAAGTAGACTGTCCTCGCCTATGGTATCATATATCAAAGTAAATCATCATCTCCAGCCTTGTCATTGATGTTCTTGCCAACTTTTTCCAGTAATGTCTTTAGTTGCTCAACGTCCTCTCTCAGCTTCTTGACCTCTAACATGGTAGGATCCTCTTCGATGTTAGCTTTGCTACTAGCAACCTTCTTTGCCCAGCCCTCGCTTTCAAAGTCAATATCGTTCGCCATCTGCTCCCATTCCTCTTCGGTATCATCGTCTTCCTCGCCCCTCCTCCTATTTCGACGGATATCTTTAGCTGCCCTGACTTCGAACAAGGCAGAGCAAAAGAGTAAGGGGGAGTATATTATTCCCATCACAATGTCATTAAGACGTTCGTATTGCTTCTTCGGCATCCACCACTCGAAAGGAATGATTAAGAGAAATATTTCAATCAAGTTGAACGGGGCGATAAAAACGTTCTCGTCTGGTGCACGCACGAACTGCATGGTCTTCTGAGAAAAGAGCGCCAGAAACTCATCGTCAGCGTTGTCGTATATATCCTCGTAGGCACTGTTGTAAAGTGCAATTAATACATTTAGCAAGATTACCATGACGACGAATGTAAAGAGATAGTAGAGGATGATTCCAAACGGCGGGCTAAAACGTTCAAACCCGCTGAAATCTGGGCTTTGCATGATAGCATTAGCCATAGCTTGTAGGATGAACATCGTATCCTCTCCCGTCATGTCGTCTGCATAATCCATGCCAATGAAAGCTATGCAATATGTTAGTTGCTTCTCGTACATACTCCTACTCTATACGTACCTTGCAAGAAACCGACAACGACAACAATTAGCAAAGCAAAGAAGATCATGCTTTCCTTCATCATCACCTTTAGCACAACAAGCATCGCACCGAAGAAGCGGAATGAATCCATATAGAGCAGCAGGCGGATCCAGAACATAGGCGCCGTAAACGCGAGGAAGTTATACGAAAGCTGGTTGAATTTCTGACGGGAATCGTCATCTGGTGAGTGGGTAAAGGCGACTATGCGCATAGCGAGCGAAACCATCAGTAGCGAGTATAGGACATTGTTGAATGCGTTCCAGAAGCTGAAAATGTGGTATCCGGCTTTATAGAACTTTGCCAATTCATCAAATAGGAAGCCAAACGTAAAAACGTAGAGTAAAATTTCGACAAAGTCCAGGTCACCATCAGGGTTAATGGTGTTGATCGCACCAGTGTAGAGAGCCAGGTAAACGAAAGAAATGATTAGTTGGAGGGCGTTTTGGTACATGGGCGCTCGCATGCGGTCGGGATCCAAATGAAGCATGAACGTAGTGTTGTCGCGATCCTTGTAGTCGACGAAGCTCGAAGGATCATTCTCGTCCTGGACGAGCCAACCTCTCCAGAGATAGTTAATACATTTCTGGTAGCCTGAAGAAGCAATTACACGCAGGGCATGAAGATCGACAGCTTTCTCGATAGCGTTAACAGGCGGGGTCTCCTCGCCGTCGACGACGATGGAGTAGCGCTTAAGCAGAATCGACTGTAGCAGATAAGGTATATCATCTTCAGACTCGATGATCTGCTTCGCTATGACCTCGCAAGCGGTAGCCCGGATTTGATGCAGGTCGGCATCCCAAAGCTCAACTACGGCTTGATGTTTAAACCAACGTTTGACAACCAAGAGGCAGAAGACTACACATGCGCTATTCTCTGACCCGCCGGCCTCTTTTGCAGCTTTAATGACTTTGGGTGTAATTATCTTGCTATGGGGCCGGGTAATTTGCAACTCTTCTAATTCGCATGGCACGCACTGTTCGATAAGGTATCGGAGGCGGAGGGCAACCTTGGTAACTTCTGGAGCGGGAATGGCAGATTCGACCGAATCGTCTTGATGAACGGGGAGGACTTCATATCAGAGAGCCCGACGAGTGTTAGCCCAGAAGCTCATGTCAGATCAATTGAAGAAAACATCTAAAGAAGCAAGGGCGAATAGCGAATATAGCTAAGTAGGGAATTTGATAGATGTGTGAATTGACTTACGTTGACGATGGGGTTCATGAATTGACCAATCGTGATGACCGTTCGACGGGTGACGATCCCATCCCAGGAGCTTCCTCCAATTGAACCTTCCCATAATCTTCTGTAATGCGCAATCGAGAAGATGTCGATATTTAGAAGTATCGTCCCGGCGAAGGGATAATCGAAACTATGATTAGAGCTGATTGTAGGGAAAGTATAAAGCTTGAAGAAGAGTTAAATATGCGAACAAAGAGGGGAAAGAGATAGCTATGTAGGTTAGGGAGGAATGGAAAAGGGTTAGTTAATACATGTCCTTGGCCTATGTACCAATGAGAACATCAATGAGGCGGATTGACGTCCCCCAAAAGTAGTGCCAAATGCGAAATTTCTTGATTTTATTTTGTTTTAACCCGCGATGCTTTTTGGTTGGAGAAATAAAAGTTGTTTCGCAAGCCGCAAGCTGCCATAACGTCATGCTGCCGCCCAGGTGGTGTACGTAATAGGTAGTACAGGCATGGGGAAATCTCGCATTGGTTCAAATACCTACTATTAGAATTTATTGGCCATCTTCATTGGATAAGTGGTTAGTCTACATGGCATATTTACATAAATACCTACCGCGAATACGCCAACTCTCCAACTCGTCATGATAAAATACTTGGAAGCTTCCAAGTCTCGTATTCCGTCTGTGATTTCTAACGCCTCGATCTAGGATCTCAGTCTAGAATCTTGATATATACCTAATTCGGGCCTTTACAATTGAGGTGTTCGCAATCATAGTTGGTAAAGAATATAGAGATACTCTTTACTTGGCTCTCGGTTTATGAGTTGCATCATTTAGATGTCAACTATCGGTTGTCTAACCCTAGCCAATAGCGCTGCCTCGATTTCTGCAGAATCCCGGTGCAGCAACGATGAATTTCGCCAGTACGAGAATTCTATAAAGAAAAAAAAAGAAGAAAAATGTTAAATATACCTTTCGAAGGTATAGGCCCGACGATTTAGAATCCCGACGAATATATACAAATATGCCGCGCTCATATTATGATTTCTAAAACTACGGGTCTAGGCAATCCTGTGAAATACAAAGAGGCTGTTGTATGATTCATACATCTCCATTGACCTAGGTCGATTTTGTTGAGGTGAGGCTTCGTGGGATTACCCAATTGATTGGATAACAAAATCGGTGTAGTGCTGCAACGACGCACATATTCAATGTATGGTCCTGCATACTACCCGCCGCAAATGTAGGATTGCAAGGAAATTTCTCTTTCCTCTATTCAATTACCTGCGACTCATCTCATACAGAAGCATAAGAAAAGCAATGCCGCGTTCGGTGAGGGGCATGCGGGATGTAAGAGTAGTATCCCACTGGAAAGGCTGCTTGATCAGAATGTAACTGATCAGGATGTAACGGCGGCCTCGTCCAAATGCTGCAAGTGATGGGTCAAAATTCTCAAGGGGCGTTTTACCTCTGGTGACTCCGAAAACCGTAAGTCTGCCCCGAGCCGTACACGCATAGGTTCCATAGGTACGCACCCGGTTAGCTCCATTTCTGTATAAGTCACGATTTCAGCCTTATCTCCTTACCTTCTCGTGCTTGGATTCTAATGCGCGCACCAGAGCTGGCTGCCTACAAGGTGTTTCTCAAGCTTAGCTGGGGAAGATATAAGACATGATAGATGCGATTGACGTGGCCGCGCACGAGACTACATACCGTGCTATGATGCCTACTAGCCTGTTGGGCTGGGCTGGGCTGGGCTTCTGACGGCGCAGCAAACTAGAACTACGTTCGTACAGCATGTGAACTGCAATAGATCAATACCTATGTAGCAGCATCAAAACCAGCACTTAGCATTGTTTACCGTCGATCGTATCATATGCTTGCTATGCGTGCCTAGTGTGCACCCATGTTCCTAACTTAGGTACTATTCACTTGTATGCTGTGTTAGTTATAGATAATACAGCATTACGTTTTGACGAAAGGTCTTACGTGTGTACCTAATATCTAGGTATTCATTAGTCTCTTGGTCTCTTGGTGCATGGTTTAAATGTCGCCTCATTGGTCCTCTGTGAGCGTTCCAAGGCTGGTCATGTGGTGGCTTATATATAGGCAGGTAGGTGTTAGAGCGGGTAGTATTATAAAATGAGCCGCTTAAACTATTAGTGACCGGCATAGCATAGCAGGGCGGACATGTTTACCGGAGTGATCTACAGGCGCATAAGCAACCACGCAGCCACGCAGCCACGGTCGTGATTTAATCAACCTCTTCTACAATAATCTACAACAAGCACATTAAATAATATGTACTACTACATTATAACTGCTATAGTTGCATTTAACTAATCTTTATTAATACCCATCGTGGGTGGTTTAGGTAGGTAGTTTATGGAGCCTTATACTCGGTTGGGGTGGGTTGCGCCAAACCTAGTCCTGCATTAAATAACTACATAGGTATTGTACCTAGGCAAGTTATTATTTAAGCCATCATCTTGAATGCACTTACATATGTAAACGTGGGCACCCATGGTGGGGCGAATCGGGGCCTAGATTTACTCCCTTAGAGTGGGCGGGTACATATGTAGGAGGCAGTCAAGACATACATACCTATACCTAGTACATAACCTATGCATGTGTGTTAAAAGTTAAAACATCAAGTACATGCAGTTCTACGTTGAATGTGGCCAAGAGAATAGATTTATTATTCTACGCATAAGACGTGTCTGGTGGCGTCGATCTCACATTTGCAGATTCATACATACACGCACTTAAAATACAGAAATATGCCGCTATTTCTCTTCTATGTCATGTAGGAATTAGGAATTATCAACCACTGGAGCTTGAGTCGTAAGGTTATAAGTCGTACATATGACAGATATCTCGTACGTGACTGGGTACATGTATAATCCATTTTCATGGAATTTTCGGTAGGTACCTACATAAGTTACCTATGTACTCAGCTACGGACCCCTGCCAACGGTAGGCGACCGTAGGCGACCTTTGGTATCAGCACTACTTCCATCTCCTCACAGGTAGGACGTTGCTTCTCCCCAGGAATCAAAGATAGAATAGGCTACAGCAGGCGGCGCTAAGGTTGTGTATCCAACCAAAAGGTGCAAGTACATTATGTACATTGATATGAATGTATAGGTCCTGCACCTATTATACCACCACATGCGCCACGCCGCTGCCTACTTTGATATCGCACAGCTGAAGAAGTAGTAGCATCGGGAGTCGCCCTTTCTTGTTCCAGAGGAACCGCTGTTGCCGTTCTTTGCTGTTCTTCCGTTATCCTTCCTCCTAATTTGTCCATGTCCATTTGCACGTGCAGAATGCCTAATTCCCAAGTTAACAAAATAATGTACACCTCTGTTCAGACTTCTTCTCTTCGTCATATCATACATGCATATGTAGGTATCGTCATCCACAAAACTCATCCTTGTGTCTCCCCCAGCTTATTCCGCCTTATCACTACCATAACCTTACACCCTCTACACTTCTTACATATATTCACATACACGCCTTTCTGCCGTGCCATTCTTTGTTCTGGTAACTTTTTGTTCAACTTTGGGTATTGGTCCGTCATACTGGCTCCTATTCTAAAACTTTAGTAAAAAGACATAGCACGTACACGTTATCTTTAGACAGTTCGGTATATAATACATATACCTTCTGCCTGTGAAGCTGTCTTATACACAACCCTTTTACCATTGTCCACTCCCAACATATTCTTCCAATACCATCCACTTATCCCATTCTTCACTTTACTCCAGCTGGCTTCTTGAACACTGCCGGCAATATCTGTCGCGCGATAGGTGCGTAACGTCTCATTGTTAGTATTATTGGATATAAAAGAAGAGTTATTTGTACTGCCGTGTACAGCGTGGCAACTGTCGTTGGACTCGACACTGAAAGAAAAAGGCGACCCAAAGAGATTTTGACAGTTGGCACTGTTAATTACACGACTCATTTCACACCCTTTAATTCCTATTTTATTGTAATTTGTTGTTTCCCCCTTGCTGACACGGTGTATTTAGGTTACGGACCAGCCAGTCATGATCACCCACGACGTTTGAAGATTTTAATTGTGCCCACAGCAAACAGAAGCAGGAATTTCCCCCGCCTTTCAGCTTCAAGTCATTCTATACTGTCTTACAGATCATTCGAGTCTTAAAAAGCCATTTGTGCGCTCTTCTTAGCTACATTTACTTCTGATCCCCCATAGAGTCTTGAGCTCCCTGCGCTGGAACCGTCCAGCAGATATGGCCTCCAACATGGATTTGGAAATCGAATCTCAGAAAACCAAAACCAGTCATTCGGCAGACCGTCATGAAGGCAATTTTCCTAACAGTGACGACACCAAAGCTCTTCCGGTCGAGGATGGCCTTGCAACCGCTCTCCCAGACGCCAGTAAGAAGACCAAAGGATTAAAGAACGAAAAGAAAGCCTCTGGTAAACACGATAAGAAAGCCAAGAAAGAGAAGTCTGGTAAGTCCAAGAAGGCATCTCCTGCCAATAGTGAGAGTTCTTCTGGCAGTAGCGAGGACGGGTTTACCAACTCGTCCTCAGATGAGTCCACCGACACCGAGTCCGCGTCTGGGAGCGAAGGGCGCGCGAAGAAGAAGAAGATCCAGAAGAAGCGTCAGGATCTCCGGAAAGCCAAGAAGTTGATAAAGTCATCCAAGACGAGCACTAAGCAGTCAAAATCACAAATCAAGGCCTCAGAAGTCAATACTAGCGATACTGACGCCGAGGATGAAGATGTATCTCATCTCGACAAAAAAGAGGGTATTGGCGAGGCCGCGGAACAAGAGCTTGCCAGAATACGATTGCAAGTCGAACAGCTCCTGCGCCATACTGCATCTATAGGCCTCGCCCACAATCTTACCGGCGGTCCCACCACTTCTCTCAACCAAAGTTCTCCTGGATTAGGTATTCAAGGAGGGCTCGTTGGCGGTCTCAATTCTGGCGGGTACCAGCTTCCTCCCGATGCTCCTATGATAGGTTACCATGATGCATATTTCGATAATCGATTTGCGCCTCCTGGTGCTTCTATGATGGGTTACCATGATGCCTATTTCGGCAATAAATATGCGCAGAAACGGAATGAACAACCGGAGAACAGGTCAAAACCTATAAATATCATGAATAGGGGCCGTGGTAATAACTTGCCACTCAGGGGTCGATTGAGGCGGCTTAGCTCTGGCGACCTTGTGCTAGAAGGTCACGCAAGCCGTAACAGGGAATCTAAATCAAAGGACGCCCGTGATACCAAGCCAGTTGCGCAACGCCTGGAGTTCAAACGCGTGGATCAAGTCTGGGATTCGCAGATCCATAATTACAAGCTCCAAGATACGGCTGAGAATGCTAGTAGCTCCCAATATGATGAATACCTCTTTCACGTGAGGAGAACCTTTGACTGGGAGGGAAAATATAAGACA